TGACCTACGTGCTCCAAAATCTAATCAGATTGTCTTCCTATGGTGATACACACTATCATTAAGTTTGAAGTTTAAATCTCCAGTGGTTCTTGAGATATTATGATATGGTGATACATACTATCATTAAGTTTGAAGTGAAAATTCTCCAGTGGTTCTTGAGATATCGCGATAACGATCTCAATGTATGGAATTTCATAAGTTGACCTCTGTGACCCTTGACCTTTGACCTACGTGCTCCAAAATCTAATCAGATTGTCTTCCTATGGTGATACACACTATCATTAAGTTTGAAGTTTAAATCTCCAGTGGTTCTTGAAATATTATGATAACAATCTCAATGTATGGAATTTCATAAGTTGACCTCTGTGACCCTTGACCTTTGACCTACGTGCTCCAAAATCTAATCAGATCGTCTTCCTATGGTGATACATACTATCCTTAAGTTTGAAGTTTTTACATCTCCAGTGGTTCTTGAGATATCATAACAATCTCAATGTATGGAATTTCATAAGTTGACCTCTATGACCCTTGACCTTTGACCTACGTGCTCCAAAATGTAATCAGATTGTTTTCCTATAGTGATACACACTATCACTAAGTTTGAAGTTTAAATCTCCAGTGGTTCTTGAGATATCATGATAACAATCTCAATGTATGGAATTTCATAAGTTGACCTCTGTGACCCTTGACCTTTGACATACGTGCTCCAAAATCTAATCAGATCGTCTTCCTATGGTGATACATACTATCCTTAAGTTTGAAGTTTAAATCTCAAATGGTTCTTGAGATATCGCGCTAACAAACTCAATACAAGGAATTTCATAAGTTGACCTCTGTGACCTGTGACCTTTGACCTACGTACCCCAAAATCTAATCAGATCGTCTTCCTATGGTGATAAATACTATTCCCGAGTCTTAAGTTTAAATCTTAAATGGTTCTTGAGATATTGTGATAACGGTCAAACGGGACGGACGTACGGACGTACGGACGGACGTACGGACGGACAACCCGAAAACATGATGCCTCCGGCACCACCTTCGGTGGCGGAGGCATAAAAATCAACAAAAACAACAACAACAAAAATGGGGGGGGGGCACGGGGGCACAGTGCCCCCACTTTTTCAAATACCTCCAAAATGCCTCCTTTTACACAGGAAAGTGCCCCTTTTACTTTGTAAAAAGTGCCCCTTCCCCTTTTCATCTGTAATAAGTGCCCCTTTTATTTTGACATGCGCCCCTTTTTCTTCGACAAGTTCCCATTTTTCTTTGTAAGAAGTGCATCTTACCCTTTTAATAACTAGGCCTACCCCTTTTTAATTCGGATAAGTACACATTTTATTTTCACATATGCCCCTTTTCCTTTTTTTGATAAGTGCCCCTTTTTCTTATGATAAGTGGCCCCATTAACAAATGAGTCCCTTCCTCTTCTCACAAATGCCCCTTTTCATTCTCATAAGTGCCCCTTTTCATCTCCAGGAAATGTCCCTATTCTGGTACGAGAAGTTACTCCTTTTTACTTCAGATAAGTGCCCCTTCACCACCGATAATTGCCCCCTTACCTCCGATAATTGCCCCTATTCAAATATGAGGGATGCCCGTTTTACCTTAACAAGTGCCTCTTTCCCTTCTCATAATTATCCCCTTTTATCTCTGAAAAGTAACCCGTTTATTTAAACATGTGCATCTTTTTCTTTTTAGTAAGAGCCTCTTCCCCCTTTTAATAAAATCCCACTTTCACCTCCGATTTTTCTCGGTAATTTAGGTAATGTTAATTCCAATAGTAATATTGATTTTTCTTGAAGTAATCTTGATTTGTGTACAGCGCTTTGAAACTTTAATGTCACAAGCGCTATGTAGATTTTGCGTATTATTATTATAATTATAAATGCTCATTTTGATATCTGGTCAGTGACCCTTTTCAGGTGTGATAAATGCCCCTTTTTACATCTGACAATTTCCCTTTTAACAATGATACGTTCCCCTTTTCCTTTCTAATAAGGGACCTATTCCCTTTTCACCCCTTATAAATGCCCCTATCAAGATCTGATGGGTGCCCTTTTTCCGTCGACAAAAGCCCATATCCTATTCTCATTAGCGCCTATTTTCATCCCTGGTGAGTGGTGAGTGCGGCCTCTTTTCTTTTTTAATTAGTGTCTTATCCCTTACGATAAGTGTCCCCTTTTCCTCTCATCATTAAACATTTCCCAAATTTAAAGCGATGAATAAGAGTAATGTCCCCCAAAGCTTGTCCCCAAAGCTCGTACCGCTCGCTCGCATTGATAGATGATATAATTATGTTACTTAGCAAGATCTTTTCAGCCTTCCGTTGTGAGAATGTGCTTAGAACCCCATCAGGATTTGGTGTTATCTCTTTAAAAGATGTAATTTTTCTCACTGCGACCTCACAAATCTTAAAATTCGCTCCTCGAAAATACAACTGCAAAGTATAAATATCTTGTATAAGGTATACAGAGAAACAAATATCAAAATGTAGGGGTATATACCGATGTCTAAAAATTTGTATACTTTCGTTTTGAGATTTCCCTTTGAAGGTGCCCTTTTTTCTCTCCAGAAAGTGCTCTTTTTTGTTGGTGCCCCCCCCCCCCCACTTTGGAAGTCGCTCTGTCGCGCCGCCCCTGGTCAGATGGGCGTATAGTTTGAATGGCGGATGTATTACTATTGATGATGACGATCGATTGATGATGGTGATGAACTATATAGTCCAGTCCGTCAGATGATAGGCCTACTAGGCTATTTTCATTATCACGCAGTCTGATGCAGTGGCGGCCGAGCGACGTCTAAAGTGGGGGGGGGGACCAAGAAAAAGGGGCACTTTCTGGAAAAAAGGGCACCTACAAAGGGAAATCTCAAAGCGAAAATATACAATTTTTGTAAAACATTGGTATATAACCGTACATTGTGATTACAACTATCAGGGATGATTTCAATATTTGTTTCACTTAATACACCATACAAGATATTGCTTGAGCATCATGCTTTGCAGTTGGGTTTGAATGTCTCAAAAATTGTTTGCGAGCGAGGACAATTTTTAAGATGTGTGAGGTCGCAGTGCGAAAAATTACACTTATAAAGAGGAAAAAACACAATCCTAATGGGGTTTTAAGCACATTCTCATAACGGAAGACTGAAAAGACCTTTGATAAGTAACATTAGTATATCATCTATAGATGCGTGCGAGCGTAGCGAGCGAGCTTTGGGGGAAATTGCTCTTCGTCGCTTGAAAATAGCTAGGGCGCGTTTAATTATGAGAGGAAGAAACAGAGCATGTGCCAAAGTACAAAGAGTAATTCTCAGAGGTGAAAATTGGGCACTTCTTACATCCTCAAAAAGAGGCACTCACCAGGGATGAAAAAAGTCAGTCATGAGAATAGGAAATGGGCATTTGTCGACGGAAAAGGGGCCCCGTCAGATTGTGATAGGGGCATTTATATGATATTATTACATATTGTTAAAATGGAAATTATCAGAGGTGAAAAGAGGCACTTATGAATATGAAAGGGGGCAATGACCAGATATGAAAAGGGGCACTTATGGGAATGAAAAAGGGGCACTTGTAATAAAGGAAAATGGGGGGTAGCTATTAAAAAGGGAAGGGGCACTTCTAACAAAGGATAAGGGGCACTTGTCAAATTAAAAGAGGTACGTACCTCTCAGATTTAAATAGGACAATTATCAGAGGTGAAAAGAGGAACTTCTCGTACCTAACTATATAGGGGCACTTACTAGAGATTAAAATGGGCACTTATGAGAATGAAAATGGACACTTATTGCAAAGGAAAATGGGAACCTGTCGAAGGAAAAGTGGCACGTGTCGAAATAAAATGGACACTTATCAGAGTTAAAAAAGAGAAGGGGCACTTTTACAAATTAATAGGGGCACTTGTCAAATTAAAAGGGGCACTATTCCTATGTAAAAAGGGGCACTTCTTAAAAAGTTAAAGGGGCACTGTTCGGGTGCTTGAAAAAGTGGGGGGGGGGGGGCACTGTGCCCCCCTGCCCCCGGGAGGGCCGCCTCGGGTTTGATGCGATGATGATCGATGATGAGGAGGAGGTGGGTGGAGGAGGATGACTGTGTTTAAAGCTGAGGGCGCTACCAGGCTGCCAGAAAATCATGCTCTCCAACCTCCACCTTTCTTTCTACATACTGTACATCCCCCCCACTGCGGCACCGCTCACACCCTCCTCCTACCCCCACCCCTAACCCGCTCACACCCTCCTCCTACCCCATCCCTAACCCGCTCCCATCCTCCTAGTACCACTTCCCATCCCACCGATCTTTGCCGCTCGCCTGTACTAGTGCATGACCGTCAATACTCTCAAACACCGAGAACAAGCTGTTCACAAGTGTAGATGATCTGGTTGTAGATGAGATGGCAAAGAGGTAGGAATTCATTTATGGACTGATGTCCAAACTTAAGAATAAAATCGGACCAGGTAAAGAACGTTTCTAAGGCATTTGTTTTGTGTAGAGTCTATATAGGAACCTTGCCTAGTAGCATGGGTGTATCGAGCGGATCTCGGAGTCAAACTTTGCGCCCCGCGGCCGCGGGCTCTGTCTTGTTGGGCATATCACGTACCGGTATGATATGTTGATGATGCAATGATGATGTATTTTTTCTACGAATTTGCGGAAGAAGGTGAACAATTCGGAGAGATTTGGTGAAAGTACCCCGAATTTGAGGGGGTGTAGTTTGAAAACTAGCCAATAAGACTTGTAACACCAAATGAACAACCGAGTGAATGAAGGACAATCAAAATAAGTGCAGGAGAGTATTTGAAAATTATGAGAAATAAATATGATTACTATGACAATCAAAATGAAACTAGAATTTTAGGAATCATGCAATTATGTGGCAAACATGGGCAGGTCAGCCTATGAACGATATACATGTCTGCATGTGTACATCCAATTGTTTTAAGTTGTAAACGATCTCACTGCCTCTTTATTTTCACTGCCTCTTTATTTTTTTGTTTTCCAGAATGATATCTTTGTGACTTCTCTGACAAGGCAAATACAATGTGTGAAAAAGGATACAGGCACTTTAGCCTATACCCTTTCACTTGGGGCAAGGCCGTTTGGAATCATGCTCTATGGCCCACAGTATCAGCCTGTCATAGATTGTAAGTATCAGTGTTTAGAAGAAAAAAAGATTTTACAAATTTATCCAAACAATCAGATTCAATCATTTTTTCAATGATAGACTTGCAATTAAACTTGGTCTCAATAGTTCAGGTCATGAGGATATTTCTATCTATTATTGAAAAGGAGAAGCACAATTAATATTGGTTGAACAACTACCTGTTATCAACATGAGGTTCAAAATTTTGTATTGAGATAATCAAATTGGGTATTATGAAGGCTAATTTGACTATTGAATGGTATGAAGAATATTGATATGAAACGAGGATAAGAAGGAACGATAGAAAAAACATCTAAGAAATGTGCACATGAAATGATAGAAAAAAATGAAAGGAAAAACATATAGATTAAAGGAAAGATAGAACAAAAATGATGGAAGAATAAACACAAAGACTGACAGATGGAATAACAGAAAGAGAAGATGTGAGAAGGATAGAAATAGAAAATAATATACAGAAGGATGAAATATGCTGCTCTCATAACTTTACAAAGCTCACTGAAGAAAATGTTTTAATTTCTAATTTGCCTTAGATCAACTAGATCATAGATACATCAATAACAATTACACAATTTTATCAAATCTATGACCTTCAACTGATGAACATTTCATTCTATTGCCTTTATGTTGACAAAATATTAACTTGTGTCAAACATTAGATTGTATTTTAAATCTACTGTAAAACCAAATACCTTTGCGAGTGACACATTCATGGTATCATTCTATTGTGGTTCAGTTATTTTGCAGCATGAAACTTCCGTGAATCTGAATCACTCGCAAATTTGCAAACAATTCATGCATACCAAAGTTTCTAGTTATACAATGATGTCTGTTATTTCATGCATACATGTATATACAGCTCCCTGTGCCAGCAATCCATGCCAGCATCTATGTACAAGCGCCCCAGACTCCTCCTTCAAGTGTGTGTGTAACCATGGTTATGAGCTGACGATGAATGGAACGTCTTGTGTTAGAGGTAAAAAAAGACTTTGTACTCCCTCAGGCCAATGGGTCATGTAACTGATACTACGTGTGAAATATTTAAGTTTATAGATCCATCAGAGGAAAGCAAAATTATTGATTTCTAGAAGGATGGTGTTGATATATATAAGTGAATTAAATTCCTGTGCCCCTAATTCAATGGAGTCCTATTAGTGTCATCATTAACACTTATTGTCTCGGTTGATAAATGTTAAAAGATTTTTTCCTTTGTCAATACTGTGTTAGCCCAACTTATGATTACCTGGGTACATATTTTACTAGCACTCCGCTTTGATTCAAGATTCTATGAGTAATTCATTTAAATACTTGACACTTAATGCCTCATATATATTTCACCTTCTCATATGCCCTGCACTAACTCTATCGTCATGCATGGTTCCAAATGTAGATGTGTTGTTGTCTAGTAGAGAAGTCTAGGATGGATTGAGAACCAAGGTACGGGGTAATCCCCTGCCGCAGCACTCACGTCCTCTGACGACATTTAACCTACATTTGCCACTCTCGGCCCAGGGGTAGTGGGTAAGTGGGTACCTGGCAGGATTTGATCCTTGAGTGCTATGGCTGATGGAGCTGAAGCCAGGGTAATAATATCCAACAGTCCTTGGAAGCATATAGAGACATTATATCATAATGTTATATTGTACCTATTGTACAAGAACTATGATTTCTTAAATAAGGAAGACCATGTGACGATGGACTAGTGGTAGGTATCATATCATTGTATTGGTTCAAAACAAATTTCACCCTTTCATCCATTTCCTAGATGAAGAGAAGATTAATAAACCCCAGCTCCTGTTTGTCACCCGCCATGAAATCATCCGCTTCCCAGCAAATTTTGCAGACATCCCTGACGCTCAGATAGTGAAGAACAAATATCTTGTCTCCAATCGCACCCTTCTGGTTGCCGTTGAGATGGATGCCAAAGCAGAAATGATGTTCTATTCTGATTATGGAAAGCGGGAGATCTATCGGGTCCGCCTATTTAGCGGTCGCTCCATCAAGACTGTTGTGGGTGGAGTGGGAAGTGCAGAAGGTAATTGTGTTTTGTAGAGGTTCGTTAAGACATGAAACGGGTAAACCATTTATTATGACGTAAAGTATCACATTTCTGTATCTTATAACACAGAAGCCAGTGAATGCGCTCAAGTCCTTTGTTGCGTGCAGTTACCATTCATTTACAAGTAATAACAAAACCTGGTGGATTTCTTTAGTGCGCATTATCAAACCCCCAAAATATGACAATTTTATTTTCCAAGTCATGACATGGTATGCATACAGGTTTATGATTGGAATTTGATCAAATATCTTACATTAAAAATCATTGTTAGGATGCAGTATTGTGATCTAGGTCTGAACTCCACACTACATTTGTATCTGTAAGAGCAGGTTTGCTACTGGATGATAGGGCATTGTAGGCCTACTATATTAGGTAAACCACAATTTGGATAAAATTAATAGTAAATTTGATCAAGGTTGGCTTAGCAAAATATCTGTTTATTTCATAATTCTCAAAATAAGAATCGATAAATGGAAGCCCGCTCCTGCTCTTACACAGTCAATACCAATATTAAGTTAATTGTGCTTAAATTATGTGATATGCAGACTTCATTTTAGAGCAAAAGTTCTCTCTAGTTTGAGAGTCCACAGTTTTTACATTGGTTTCATCTAAAGAAGGATTTGCTAACACCTCAAAAAATATATCTTATTGATCAGGTTTAGCTGTTGATTGGTTGAACCAAAACCTTTACTGGACAGACGCTGTCCGGCGTCACATAGCAGTGTCAAGGTATGACGGCAGCAGAAGGAAATTCCTCTTGGAAGACGATATTGTACGCCCCAGAAGTTTAGTGATCCATGCCATTCGCAAGTAAGTCCATAATGAGAGCCATAATGGGGGATTTTAAGCTACACACTTTGTTTTCAAAGTCTAAAAGTGAATTAGGATAATTTGTTTTGTTTATTTTGGTTCTATATCTCCTGTAGTTGACAGGTGGTACAGCATCATGACAGAAAATAACGCATATGTCACATGGATTGAAGAAGAAGACCTGCAGGGTACATATATTTAGTTACCGGTAATCTTTTTCTTTTTTCCCGGCATCCATGTGACTCTTTTCCAAATGTTCTCTTGTTTTGTATTCAATGATTTCCTTTGTTTTTGCGAAATGAATAATAATAATAATAATAATAATAATAGTTTTAAGTCATTTCTATATATTTATGAGATTTGTTAACAAAATGGAAGGATTTCGTAGCTACGTAAACATAATAAGTTTATGCACATGTAGATTTCACCTCAATTAATTAAAACTAAAAATAATATGGTAAGTAATATTTCAACATTTCTCAAATTTTTCTCAGCGATTATTCTTGTTGCTCAGTCACCTTAGAGTTTTGGCGCATTATGTGCGTCGCATTGCTCATACATTACATGTGTAGTGTAATAGTAAAAGTACAAATGAGGATGGTGATTGCATTTCATCTGACTAAGAAGCCAAATACACATCCAATATAAGGGTTAGTATGTGGACCTACACTTTCAATCGTATACATGATCATGTATCTGAGGGACTTGTAATAATAGGAGATTAATGTCCTACCAAAGAGTGAGGTACAGATGTGATGTAATGGCTACTAGAAAGAGGAGAGCATAGTTAAACTACTCAACAGCCCCCTCTACCCCCCCCCCCCTCCCCCAAAAAAAAGAAAGAAAGAAAAAAAAATGGAATCTTAATAAAGGGAAATAGAAACTTTTAATTACATAATTAAGTGTTTGGTCAAGATACATGAAGTCATGAGATTGACTCTAGACAGTATGTTTTTGTTTGGAGTAGCCAAAGGTAATGTCTGCAGGTGTATTCTGTGGTAGCAAGAATACTGATTTTTCATGCTTTGAACCATTTATGACAGGTTTATGTTTTGGACCGAGTTTGGACCTCCATCTCAGATTGAGAGGGCTAATTTGGATGGAACAGGACATATGGTGATCAAAACTGGACTGAACTCACCCAATGGACTGGCTTTAGACTTCAACAATGATAGGTAAAGGCTACAATCCAGCATTGTCTTGTATTTGCCTATTTAAAAAATACAAAATCATTTGATGAAGATAATTGTTGCGTGTTTTGTTATGCATGTGAATTCTCCTAGCTCTAAGGCCATAGTTTTTAAGGTTTGAGATATATAGTAGCATGATGTCATAAGACCTATATGGCACAGTTTATCTTATCATAGAGAAATGTATAATTTTAAGATCATAATGTGAACACATAATGTATAATGTGCCAGTATCTGGCGAAGGATACAGCACATGGCAAATATGGGAAGTGTTACTGCAATGTGTGAAAAGGCAATACATTTGAAAGTAAAAAGCACATGTACAGTGTATGTTTAAAATATTCAAATTCTGATCTAAATCATCTTAATTTTCACATCCCCTGAATCCTGAAATAGGTACAAAAATATTTATGAAGGATCGTGAAAATTGTACTTGAGACGTATGGAAGTGGATGGATAATCGTTTTCTTAAACTAAAAAAATTGTGCTAGGCTCCAGACAACAACTTGCAAAGATTACCTACATATACATATATACAAATGTGTTGGTTCTACTCATATCGCTCCTACTGATGGGGCAAAAAATAAATATTTGATTCCATCATGACCCTTGATACACACATCTCAAACATTGTGAAGTATGCTAATTCTAACATCCATAACCTTTGTAATAAGAAACCACCGAGCAGCTAATCCATGCTTATATGTGACTTCTTTTCTGGATAATGTAATTCCCTCATCTTTGGCCTTCCTAAGTATCAAATTCACAAAATACAATAAAATACAGCTAACTGGCTTGTCATCAAATCTTTTGACCCATATACTACTCAATTATTTATTAACCTTCACTGGCTTCCTATAGAACATCATATTAAATATAACATGTTATTTCTCACCTACCGTTCACTTCATAACCTTGCCCCTCCGTGTATTTCCTCTCTCCTTCATTCCTCTTCAACAACACGTACATTTCCACAAGGCTTAAAGAATCCAGAACTAAGAGGAGTTGGGATGACTTTGGAAACTTATCTTGTGTTGGAATTTTTCGACTTACAGAAATGGCAATTGCATTTTCCTTCAAAACTTTGAACCCGACCAATTGTTTCTGTAGTTAAATTGTTTCAGATGTTGAATATAAAGCAAATAATCACCTTTTGGTTTCAGGCGATGGCAAACTATCACTTCCTCGGCAATCTGAATGTATACGCTGTCTTTCCTCAGCTACATCCAGATCGCCTCGGAATGATAGTTTGTCCCATCACCTTTAAGAACTGTAATTATTTGCTTATTATCTGTATTTCTTAACTGTTTGTTATATACATATTGTGTTAGGTGCCTTGAGCATTCTTTAGGATATTATGATTATTACAATCATCCTGTAGACAGGATAGGTAAGGAATACTTTGTGGAATTTTGTTTCCAGGGTTAGGAATGGGAGAGTGAAGAAAATCTATCATCGCTTCATATTATCGTTTCCTGTTTCTGATACAGATTATTCTATGCCACGCGTGGCGATGGTATCATCAACTCTGTGAATTTGGATGGGTCTGAACCTACAAGAATCTATCAGAAGTCAGGGGCAAAATACTTTGACATTGAATTGTTTCGTGTGAGTATATATCAACCTGACTACAGGTTGCATCCTTTGTAAGAGCAGCCATTCTGTATTTATTATTTTTTTTAGTCGGTTTCAAATGCCAATGTTACTATTTTGTATGTGACATTTTTACACAAAGAATTTTTACATTTCCTCTTGTCAAAAAAATGTATGACATGTTATATGATAGAGTATTTAAATAAGATTGTCAATAATACAAAGGAAAACTGTTGAAATTCTGATCTTTGTGAACTCTGTGTCATTTTACAATTAGTGAAGAATGAATGATTATAAATGTATATAATCATTTCAGTGTTTTGTGACCAGTACAATTTGTTTTGTTTTTAAAGTAAATAAAAATAAAAATTGATGAGCCAACTTACCAATGGTTTGAAATTCTAGGCATATATTTCTCAAACAAATACATTTGATGGCTTGAAGCCTGCTCAAGGTTTCCCTGACACAGCAACAACTCATATGTACAAGGTACATGTAGATTCCACTAAAGTGTTCATATACATTTGTATCTTACATCGTCCTCAATTGTCACATGAGTAAAGAGTGGTAATAAACATAATTTTATTAAATGAATTTGTTTTCACTGGCTTGCTGTGTGTTGCTACGGCAGGCAACACACAACAAACTGTGTTTTGTTGACGATCAGCCATGCATTAAGTCTTTCGTCTTTTTTGTTGTAAGGGCCGACAGCCAGTGGCACCGATTTGTTTAATAAAAATATGGAAATGCAAGCATTACTTTAAACAAACAGAACTTTGTTATTCCTGGCCCATTTTTCCTGATAGAGGTGTCATATGAAGGGGCAAAAATGAACTTCCTAGAAATGTGATTTTTTCTTTAAAATTCAGATGCCGTCCATCAAATGACTTTTTGGTACCCTTTCTTCAAATTATTTTTAGTCACTCATGCATGAAATATGCATCATATGAGTTGCATCAAATGAAAAAAAGGAGGATATAAGTTTTTAAATATGTGTCATTTATGAATTATAGTTGTGATAAAACATTGATAATTCTCAATTTCTTTTTTTTCTTGGATGCACTGTACAGTTGTAATAATGGTTTAACTCTTGTCTTTTTTCAGGACTATCTCTATTTCACTGAATGGGGCACAGACAGTGGATTACATGCAGTCAGTATCAGCAAACAAGAATTAGTGAAGAGCATGGTTGTGTCTAACGTAGCGTATGGAGTCCGCATGTATGATGATACCAGGCAACCAGATGGAATAAGTAAGCTATGAAACTCTTTTTTACCGACAGCTTTTCTCTCTAAGGCCTTAAAAAAGATGTTGTATTGCCCTTTGCGACCGACCCAAAATTCTTGAAATCTACAGTCGGCTTTCTTAAAAAGTTATTTTTTGTTAAAGTTTAACAAAAAAATGTTTAATGAATAACAAAATATGTATCAAAGCAAACTGAGAAATATCAGCCAAAAGAGGGAGAAAAAAAGAGAGGAGATTTTTGATCAACTGACCCATGTTTTGGCACCTAAAGGGCAATACAACATCTTTTTTTGTAGACCTCATTGTTCACAGCCATTCTTGAAATTGGGGGAGATATGAAGGCTTTTGTCTCACCTGCGTAGCAAAAAGCGAGACATAGGCGCCGCTTTTCCGGTGACGGCGGCGTCAACATCAGAAACTTAACCTAAGGTTAAGTTTTTGAATGTTTAGTATAATTTTAAAAGTATAAGTTCTCATTCTATGAAACTTAGACTAAAGGGTTATTAAGTATCCCCAATCATGTGAGTAGAATTTCAGGGGCGGTATTCTGAACATTGTTGTAAGTTTTGTGTTATCTTTTGTTGTATCTTCCAGAGATAACACAGCGCTAATATTGTTGTAAGTTGGTATTCTGAACATTGTTTTATCCCTGTGTTATCTCTTGAAGGACCGCCTCTATCCTATCTTTGACCATTGATGACATGCCCATTTTTATGGACCCTACCAATCAAAATCTATTTTATATAAGCATGATAAGTAGGTCAACCAATAGGAATACTTTATGCCATATCTGAGGATGTGCCTAGCGCATACTAATCTTGGGCGTAATTAGTTATTTGAGCACTTATTACGCGCGTCATCATTATGCGCTGTTGAATGTGGATCATAAAGACAAATCACGCTTTCACTTTTTTGGTTAAGCTGAGAGCATTAAAATCGTTATATCCTAGCATGTAATATCTTAGAAAGTTCTCATCTGTGATGTTTCTGGTCAACCCACAATCTTCTTCTAACTCGTCTATTGGCACGAAGTTGGTTCTGGGCAAAAAATGTTGCCGCCATTATATCACCACGAAAGATACAACAACCCCCTACCTGTTGTAAATATTGTTGTAAATACCATGCAAGATAAGATAAGATAAAAGATACAACAAATTTCAGAATACCAATTATCTCGACATATTATCTCCCGTGCGCATATGCAAATGAGGATTAAATGCCACTTTTTTAATAATACGCACAATTACAAGCGCACCAAAGTATGAGCGCAGGCGCGGCCAATAAGATGAGAGAAAAGTTACAACAAAAGATAACACCAAAGTTACAACAATGTTTAGAATACCAACTTTATCTTATCTCCAAAGATACAACAATATTAGAGATAACACAGGGTTCAGAATACTGCCCCAGGTCACTAAATTAAGGTCAAAGGTCATTTCAGGCCAACAAACTTGAACTCTTTTGTGGCATCAACATCAAGATTTTGAAATTTTACCATAATTTCAAAAGTGTTTTGTTCAAATTCCATGAAACTTGTACAGAAGGTTATCAAGTATCACAAATCTTCTGACGCAAATTCCAGGTCACAAAGTCAAGGTCAAAGGTCATTTTAGGTCAGTATGTGAGGTTAAATTTTTTTTTTAAACAAAATCATTTTTTGTTATTTTTTCATGTTCCATTAAGGTTATTAATCTTGGTACAAATTATAGTAAATAATTCTTCTGATGACTCTTGGTCAATATTCACTTCAAAATGCTGATTATGTTTAGAGGATTTCATTGGGGTAGGGGGGGGGGGGGGGCTGCTAATGGGCCACACTGCCTATGAATAATGTCCCAACCTCAATTTTTCATCATATTGAATTGCGTAATGCAGGCGAGACCGCCGAGAGCGTTTCCCCTGTTTTTTTTCTTAAATCAAGAAAATGTGGAATTTGAGGAAATACCATACATGACCATAAATGTGCATGATGCAACATGTGCTATGTTCATGGTATATTACTTTTGCATGGTTTGGAATGCATTTTTATGAAATAAACTCATAAACCCAAGACTCTTGTATTGAATTGAATTGAATTGGTTTATTGAGAAATCACATCAAACAAGCAGCTCGCAGGCTGAAAATGTTCAATTTACAAACAAGTTAAAAATATAGAGAGATATAAACATATATAAAACTAAAATACATATTGTAAGTCATTGTAAGATGAAATCAAAATTGCAAAACAAAGTTATACGTTTAATGTAATAATATACTTTCATGTTGAAAGACCAAGACGGTGGGAAGGAGAGAATGGAGAAGAAAAAAAGGAAGTTGTTTGAGCGAAAGTGTTGAGAAAGTATTTAACAATTGCTATACAAACGTTTCAATTACAAAAATTGAAATTAAGCATTAAAAAAGACCTTTTGGATGAGATGAAATTAAACCGTAAGAGTCAAAATGACAGTCTCTCTTGCGTTTTCCCCTTTAATATAAATGTAATGACAGCATTCATCTAGATCAAGAAAGTTGTTCAATAAAATTAGAATGAGTATTTAAATAACAATATAGTGTAATATCGAATTAGATATTGCATTGGAGAAAAAGACCCAAGTCAAATAATTGGCAGGGGCATAAATTTGTTTAAAAAAAAAAAAAAGGAACACTAATGAACTAATGAAACAACGGGTTAAAATATGTTTACAGTTTGAGGCAGTCTGAGAGTAAATTGGATAAAAGTGTATGCTGATAACGTAATATTATACCGGTTTGTTTAAAACCAAATGTCTATTGATATGCATGAGAAAAAAAGTTATATGTCTAAAAAAAAAGAGTTCAGAGTGTATATAACAATTGCTATTGTTAATTGTAATGACATCATTCATCTAAAACAAGAAAAAAATTTGAATTTGATATTTGAATAACAATATTTCATAATTTCGTGTAAGATATTGCACATAATATTAGAGATAAAAAGCCCAAAATTTAATATTTAGCAAGGGCATAAAATTGAAGTAAAAAAAAAGGAACACTAATGAATTAATAAAATAACTAGCAGGACCCGCGGAAATCCGCGGGATTCTAGAGGGGGCGGGGGGTGTAAATAGATATATAGAGAGTGTCTAAATTAAAACCACCAAGAACTTTATTTGCCATTCAGGCCATTAAAAAAATATACATGTTTAGCATCCCCGCCCGCTTCCTTTTTGGGGGCCGCCTTTTATTTATTTATTTTTTTGAAAATTTTTTGAATTTTTTTTTTTTTTTTTTTTTTTGAAAGAAAATAAAACAGCGTCCTGTCCGCTTCCTTTTTGGGGGGCCGCCTCCTTTTTTTTTTAAATTTTTTTTTGTTATTTTTTATTTTTTGAAAGAAAAAAAAACATGAAAAGCACTGCTAAAATGTATTTCTGATTTTAAAAAGAAAAAAAAAAATTGTCGGCCGCCATCTTGAAAAATAGCCCGAATGTCAGGGAAAATGTACGGAGCGGCCATTTTGAAAGAAAAAAAAAAAAAAAAGGGCCTCCTCCTTCCCATTTTTAAAAAAAAAACAGGACGGTAAACATGTTTTTTTTTTAATTTGGCCTTATATAAAAATTAAAAAAACGATCCAACTGTACCGGTAGTTATTCTTTAAGCCACTGGAACTGCGTAGAGTTCCGTAGTGTGGCGTACCGACTACGCAGAAATTAGGCTGCGTATTAATGGGAAAATAGTCCCTGCGTAGGTTATGCGTAGGCTGGTGTACAGGTTTGCTTATGGTTGCTTACTGTGTGGAAAGCTTTTACTGCTTTGTCCATCTGGCGTAGGGTAGCATACTGTTGCATAGGCATGTAGCGTAGTGTTGCGTAAAAAGGCGTACTTTCTGCGTCAAGTTTCTACGCCGAAAGTACGCGAAAAAAATTAAACATGTTGAATTGTTTTCGTTCATCTTGCGTACCCCTTTCCGTCCCTCAGCATATAGTAACGTAGGCCAGCGTAGTTGGTACGCAACACTACGCAACTCTACGTATTGACCCCACGCCAATTAGTGACCCGCAAGTGTCACAAATAAAGTATTAAAAATATGCTCATCCGACCCTAATTAAACGCCTAAAAACCCCAAGCTTTCGGGGGTTTATGGCCCCTTCAAACCTGTGGACCCCACGACTATATTACATATACACTCAACTCGCTGCGATCTGATGTGTCCCCCCCCCCAACTTTGAAGAACATAACCCCGAGCTTTTGGGGGTTTATGGCCCCTTGAAACCCGTGGACCCCACGCCTATATTATATATACACTCTAGAGGGGGCGCAGGCAAAAAAATTAAGTTTTTCATTTCGGGGGCTCTATTTCAAATTTTTGGGAAATTTTCGTGGGCTACTTTTTCATTAATTCATAAAAGGATAGGCCTACACTTTGTTGAGATTTGTTTAGTAGGCTAAGGTTTCAGGCTTCCTACTTCATAATTGCCTATTTAAAAAAAAAAAAAAAATTCTAGTTCAATAACTAAGTTTTCATGCATTGATTTGATGCAAGAACTGTAACATAGACCTAATAGACCCTAGATTGTGATTATTTCTGACCATGAATTTCGATAATCATTTTTCAAAGTAAAATTTTTACAAGAAAATCAGACAGTCGTTTAAAAACGTAGACATTAGTAATACTTTACTAATTCTAAGCTCAGGTTTCGTAAATCTATTCACGAAACTATATTGAAATCGCGGCAATAATCATGCAAACCAACAGATAACAATTTCAAAGTGTCAAATCTCTTCGACTCGAGCTCAGCTCAGCTGAACTCACACACACTACAGCGTAACTCCAGGAAGCTCGAACACTGGCGCCGCAGGCGTCGGACGCCTGCGGAGCGGGGTGCCAGTGTTGGAGCTTCCCAGAGTTACGCTACACTGTGTGTAGTTGACTGAAGGCAGCTTGCGACTGAACTGTCAGTCCAATGGTTTTCTTGTGAATACTTTCCTTTAGAAAATGATAATCAAAATTCAGTATACATGGCCGTAGTAATCACAAAATAAGCTTTGATTTCATACCTCCATTCACGAAAACTATATAAAAATCGCGGCAATCATAATGGAAATAGGTCTCTAAGTTTGGACGTCGACGGGAATTAGCCCCGTGTATCTCTCTGGCTTGTGCAGCTCGTACAAAGCACACCCTGTAGCAAGAGGGCTTACTCGGGGGGTAATCCCGCCCTTTGCATAGAGCATTTCATACGCAACATAATGTGAGTTGCTCGTCGTCTGTCGTGTCTCTCTTTGATACGGATGTAATGTTGAATATCCATGAGGTATCTCTGTCGTCACGCATATCCTGCATTATGCATGTCGCGTCTGTTTTCGCCCTGGACGTCGACACGGAGGAGGACCTCGGGCGGAGTATAGCCAATTCCACAGAGTAGACTCTCCCGCGGACGATGGCACCGGGCACGGGTACCCCGAGGGGAGGGTTCAGGAGGAGATAGCTGCACAAACTTCGGTCGGCGATCTCATTAAAAAACAATAGAATACAAAGGCTCGCGGAGACGTCGCGCCCCCCGCGGAGCCTTAGCGTATTATTATTATAGATGAAACGATTTATAGATTCGCGTTAAGCAGTCTTATTGCAGAGGGCATTGTTGACGAGCGGTACTGAGCAGTCCTACACATGGGGGTATCCAAGTGGTGCGAGTAACGTAGACGCCGGGAGGATATTTTGCTGCGTAGGGGCGGAAGGAAGTCTCGATGCCTGGAAGAAGCCAACAGGCTCTTGGCAAAGGAGAGCTTTTGGATTCTCTCAATATCATTGATTTGATTTGTTGTTATGCTTGTAGACCACAATGGAGATGTGTATTCTGATAATAGACGAATATATGTGGAATATATATTCACTAGGTCGTGCATCGGGACTGACGCTTTCTGCAGACGACATATCATGAATATGTAGAAGTTTGCACTTCCCTTTTAAGCTATTCATAAATGAGGAAGAGATCTACAAGCAAAGGAAATTCCCTTGCTGATAAGCAAAATCAATTTTGTTATTATCTGTTTAAGATTCTCCAGACAGACCCAAGTTAAATCCTGTCCGTTTGTTATTGATTAAATATCTTATGAAATTCACAACTATATCCTTCTCATTGACAGCATGGTAAACTATTAATGAATAGAACAGGACAGTAAATAAATTGAAGCAAGGCTGTTGATAAATAAATTGTATTACAGAACAGTACATTTATTCATTTTTAAAAAGCAGGAAACAAAAACCCTAGAGAGCACGTGCTTTTCAACATTTTCCACTCATGTCTTTGCCTTCCCACCAGGTGTCTGTGATGAGGAGTCATGTGACCACCTGTGCTTACCGAGGTCAACAGAAGGCTTTGTCTGTCACTGCAGCATCGGTTTTACCTTAGCAGATGACAATTTCACATGCAATGTTGGTAAGTGTAACAGGCCTTTATGGAAGATGGGTATATATGTACATGTATATTGATTGGGTTTAAAGAGTAAGGTGAGTTCGATCATTTGATCGCTTTGTGAATGAAACTATCTGACAGCAAATAGGACAGATTGATTATGTAATTTATAAGACTTTATGCATACTGTGATGTTTTGAAATTCATACTATTATATTTGGGGGAAGGGGTTAGTTTTCTTGGAGGAGAGAAATGGGGGATGTTGTCCCAGGGGAAACTACATTTTCCTGGGTGAGTGAGAGGGCAGAACAACAATGTCTTACAGGTATAAAACATAATTTGTATATTTTTCTAGATCAATATTTTCTTTCAGCGTGTTTCCACAGAAAACATCGACAGGGTATTACCCGTGTAATACCGTGTCATACTGTGTCAGTTTTCCTGTGGAAACACAAGCGTGTCGACCGAGATACGGATTATCAGATCCACCTCTGGGAGGTGGATCTTGCCGTGTCGATCCCAACGAACTCCCTGTGAAATCGCTGTGGAAACACACACAGCGACAAACCGTGTCTGGCAGATCATCAGAGTGCGTGAAGCCCCAATCACCACTGCAGCGTGATTGGTTGAAAAATACTTTAAAATACGCGTATACAATAATATTTTTATATACACGCTGTACGTAACAATGAAAAATGTACGTCACAATAGAATAGCATGGAATCCTGTGTAGATCTGGATCCACGATCGAGGTCAAAGGTTGAATCTTGACTTCCGATTGACACAGTATTTGCCTGACCTGGAACATGGAATCGGGGCTAAATGGAAAGCTGCGCTCTGTGGAAACAGATTGGTTTAATACCGTTTCGCCGCTACACGGTATTTCAATTCCGGAAAAGATAATCTGTGTTTTATTTTTTTTCTGTGGAAACACGCTGTTTTATTCTTGTTAATATGCATATTTTTCTAATTCAAAATAAATGAATACAAAGATTACCCAATTATTCTTGGCTGTTTTTTGTTATAGATATCATGGAAGACAACTTTGTGTTGGTGGCTGACACCCACATTCCAGGTATCTTTCAGATCAGTATGGATGGCCCCATGACCCGATTCACTGCACTGCCACTTGAAGACATTGTGCGAACCATCGCCTTGGCCTATGACCCCGTTGAGACCAGGGTGTACTGGACGGATGTGAGACTGGGTTCATTTAGTAGAGCTCATATTAATGGGAGTGGTCAGGAGACGCTAGGCAGGTCAGGTGTTGATGGTAAGATCTATATGCTTTCTCCTATTGTGTTGGATGCAAAAGTTTGTGTCTTTTTTATAATTCCCCTCTTATCCTCCAATTCTTTTCAATAAATGGTAGACAGCTGATCCCTACAGCACTGCCCCAATGATGAATACTTTAACCCTAAAAAGGCCCTGTTAGTTTGGTGTGGACAGCTCAAGTGAGGGGGGATTTCACCCCCTACCCCCTCCCCCATCCCCTTCTGCCCCCTTCTACTGACAAGCTTTTCATTCAATGCCTACGTTTTCCATATCATAACAAATTAATCCTTCCATTTCTTCTCATTTTGCATTTAAAGCCTTAAAATTTGTTTGTTTCACAACCTAATTGTTAAAGGAAAACATTACACAAAAAAGAAGTGCGCATTCATATGTAACCAAAATTACCTCACTATAACAAAATAGAAAGTAGAATTAAAATAAATAAATATATATAGAGAGCATCAATACTATGTAATGCTTACACATGTCATTAAAATAAAAAAATAAAAAATGTCAAAGCCTATAATCAGATGATAAGCCCCACCCCCAATTTCTTTAATTTGATTAATAGCAAGATACTAGCAATGCTAATAAAGCTACTGGGAATTATTTAATTAACTGGAATCCTAAACAAAAGAGAAGTAAAAATATATATATATATTTTTCACATGCCTGAGACATCACGTGAATTCCGACAATACCAGTGTTTTCTTCACATGTGAAAGCCATGGAAAGCTGTGTGCAATTTCTGTTGAACCTCTGAGATTGCTGTTTGGATACCTGTCTGCCAAGTAATGTAACATTTTAGATGTACATTGGCATGTTTATGAGTTTTGTCAGTCTGAAAGAATTTAATCTTGTGTTTTCTTTCACAAACCCCCATGCTTGTAAGTAGCATATTATGTACAGATGAGAGGCATGAGAAATAAGATGTACCCTATAAATCTCTGTGTATACATTAAACCTATCTAAATGGAAATACTGAAGTACCAAACCATCTTTATCTAATTATTTCATCTATCTCTCATTTATTACAATACAATATTGAAAAATTGAAGTCATGTTTGTTAAAGATACATAAAGAGTGAAATTAGAGTCTGTTTATCCATCTCCCCAGCAAATGTCCCTGAATATACCTGTGAAATCGTCGATGAATATTGGGAAGTATGTAAAGAATATAATGAAATAGGTGTTACACTTGGTGAGTGAATTTTATGTAGCTTGAACAAGTAGATAGAGCTAGAGATAAAAGTGCACCACAGTGAGTGAGTGCGCCATTACATCATTATGATTGTGTTTTCTTTCTTTTTTGTCTTTTGATGTTTGAATAGATGATGATTGTAAAACACATGCTTTGGTGACATTTTCTCTGCAGTCAATTATCTGCACTAACCGAATGTCTATCTTCAACCATGGACCAGACATTCACCTAAACTTCACCCTAAAACTATCCTTTTTTTATACCAAAAATCCGCTTACAACTCAAGTCCTTTGACAAAATAAACCTAGAGCAGTTGTTAATTGCCTGAGCAAATGTCATATCATCTACAATTGTGGGTAAAGGCACATGAGATTTCTAGACATAAATGACAGCCACTAAAATTGCATAATCTTTTGGCATGAATTTTTTCCAAACTATATGAGGATGGAATCTTCAAAACTATAATTCAAAGAATAAAAATGGATCTTATCGTGACACTGCATAGTTTAGAATGTGGGTTTTATGTTATTCCATATACATGATACAAATTGTATCAACTTGAATCAATGAAGAATGCAAAGATGAACAAAAATGGTCTTAATCTATATAATAGCTTCATTACTTCCTCCCTTTGACAATTTTACAGTTATTTAGACTTACATGTCCAACACTCACACACAATCTGCACAGGCACCCACCCACCCACCCACCCACCAAACAAGCACCCACCAAACATTCACCATCCTAAAACCAACAACCCACACAAGAATACAATAAAAAGTCACAAACACCCACACACAACCCACCCAAACAGTAGCACACACCTACTAGCACACACCCACTAGCACACCCACAACATACACACATACACTTCCACTCACTTTAAAATGTGTCCTCTGATGAATATTGGAATAAAAATATAGATAAAAGACATTTGCAAGTTATTGAAGAAGTTACATGTAAATGACAATTTCTGTTGAAAAGAGAGTAATCATGCGCCATAAAAATACAGAATACTGTGATTAATGATATTATTCTACTGTCTAAACAGTGGTAGCTGGTTTCAACAGTTATGACAATGATACAAGGTCGTTCAAAAAAAAAAGATTCAGCTTCTTCTTCTTCTTCTTCTTTAAATTCTTGCTGTTTGTTTTTTGTTGCCATATTCCATTTCCCTCTATCTATTTATTTTTTATTTTATCTCTTTATCTGTAGGCTATAAGTGTTCTGTATAAAATTATTGGAAGTTAGGTACATTGAGGTATTATGGTGTGTATTCATACTTTCTTGGTTCTGATAATGTTATGATCTTTCAGTTACGTACAAATAAGGCAGATTATTTGAACAATTCAATTTGCTTTTATAACTTTCTGCATATTTATGTTTGTGGTGCTAGAAAAACATGTAAAGTCATATATTAAAAAAAAGTCTTCTTAATACAGTTTATTGGTAAATATTTACTTTTCTGTCTCTCAGACAGCATGTTCGTCCCTAGCCTATCTTTAACTTTCTCCCTGCGTTAATGACCTTTTATGTTCTGGATGTTTCATAGGAATCTTGCTTTTATGTTTTCAAGAATTTTGAACACTTAATGACTTTTGTATTATACATGTTCAAGGTACCATGGTTTGCCATGAAAAGTAATAAAGTCATAATTTCTAGAATGCCAATAATTAACAACAAAAGCTTCAAAGAAAATTAGATTTTGGACAGATGGAAATAGAGGATCTGTATGTCAAATCCAACCTAGAAACCTCCTGCATCATGTCCACTTCATATTACAATCAAGTGTCTAGAATAATTCATGTGAAGAGGTATATTTGAAGGAAAATGAATATTTATTTGTCCCATCTGCCCAGCCAATGCCCCTAAATTTACTGTGACTCTCAACGGATTTCACAGGAAAGCTCGTGTGAGTAATGAAATTGGTATGAAAGATGGTGAGTGAAATTCTATCCAGATTGAGCAATTCGGTAGTGACAATTGCACCAGAAAGAGTGAGGGAGCCATAGCATATTTGCAATTGACTGCAAAGTTATTATCAATTGACATTCCAGTCATTCTAGCCTTTAAAATTACCAGGCGCATCATGATACACAAATTTTCATGCACATGATCATGAATTTAAAACATAATTATATCAAACTCTATTTCAGATGTCATAATTTGTTAAAGAAAAGAAGTTAAAGAAACTTGATGAAAGCAGCAAATGTCAAAATGATCTGAACATAATTTCTCTAGTTTGATTACATCTCTGAATAATTGGCCTGTTGCGGCTTGCGCTTGCCTTTTAGGGCCCTTTTAATTGTGAATCCATCCTTTTGAAAATAGCTTCATTTTCTTTTTCCTTTAATTATTAAACTTTGTAGTCATGTGCAATGCTTGTGCAAGTGATGTGTCATATTGCTTCTTCATCCATACTTCATCTTTCTCCACTTTCAATCCTTCATCTCCTACCCTGCAGTCTTTATGCTCACCCTTTCCCAGCTTCGATTATTATCCTCTTTATCTGTTACTGCAGAAAAGAGGAAGAATTACACAAGCATATAATGTCCTAGTGATGTTATGGTACCAAGTGTTTCATTCTCAGCCATTTTTTCTAAGATAATCAATAACTTGTGCTAATTCGTAGCACATTTTCAGGATTGTACATACGAACTTGTGTGTGCTTTACAGATTTCCATATACATGTAGGTATTCAGGCTATTCTTACAGTTCAAGATCTGTATAAGAAAGGCCTGTTGTAGTGACAGTTGGCAAGTGTTTCAAATCATACAACTGTCAAGTGCACCTCATATCTTACTGGTCATCATCTTTTATTTTACCAACTCTTCTTCTTTTAATTATACTTTTCTCATTTAATTTCCCTTTGTTAATATATACTAGCCCATGTGCTTCTCAACCTTTTTTTTTTAAACTCAGGGGCCCCACTCTGGCTGTTAGAAATTTGTTGAGACTTACCTTACAAAAATGTAAAGCTCATGATATAAAAATGACAATAAAATGTGACACAAGAAAATAGAGAATGAATTGTGTGGTGAGTACATGTATATGTGTTGTGCCACTGTCAGTTGTAATACAACACCTACACTGCTTACCTTCATTTATAACACTAGCTTGTCAGGGGGGGGGGGGGGGTACTTTGAGGGCTGAATTCCCCCTCACACATGCCCCCCCCCCCCTACAAAAAAAGAAGAAAGACTAATAAAGATAAGAAAGACAAGAAGAAGATAAATGATGGGTCACACAATGTCCTTTCACACATCATGCATCACTTACATTTCCATAATTTTAGTAAACAAATCCGTTCTACAGTGGCTGTCTGCTCTAACAGCAAAGAAGACGGCAGGCAGCCAGTGAAGACAAATTTGTTTAACAAAATCATGGAAATGCAAGCTTACTTTAAACAAACAGAACTTTCTTATTCTTGACTCATTTTTCCTGAAATATGTGTCATTTGTTAATTATAATTGTCATTAAGTTAATTATGATAAAACATCGATTATTCTCGGTTTCGTTTTTTCTGGGACGCACTTAATAGCAGAATTTGAGAATGTCATGTAATATCAGATATACACTTTTATTTGATTCTATTTAAAAAACTATGTTTTGGCTGAATTACTCGTGGCCCACCTCGTGGCCCACCTGACACAGCTGTGCGGCCCACCTGACACAGCTGTGCGGCCCACCGGTTGAGAAGCACTGTACTAACCACTTACTTGTTTGCATAGGTGTCTAAGAGTCTGTGTGTGTGAGTAGAGGAATGTAGATTTTTGGAGCACTACTTTGGAGTTTCCCTTGCACATAAATTCATCATAATGCACTGAAATTTATTGTGCTCTACATTACTTTAACAGCAGTAGGCCATTCATTAGTTGTTATATGTTAAACAAAGGTTTATACTTATTTTTCCCATGCCATTTGAAGTGTTAAATTTCAAAAATACTCTTGGAATGCAATACAAACTAAAATAAGCCTTATTCGTGTAGCTCCTCTTATAGTCCGAATTTGGTGTGCAAAGTTTGATATAATATATGACCTGAAACATATACAATAGTATGGAATTTATTCAGTTTCTATGAAATGAAGTGTTCTGTTACTCAAATTTAGAATAGCAATATCACTTTACAACATGATCATATCATGTGGAGAGGTCAATATACATTGCACCTTTCTCATTACAACTGCTTTATATAAAATAGAGACCTTCTGATGTATGTAGGTTCATGTACTTATACTTGCAAGGATAATTGGTTTCTACTGGGTTATTCCAGTTTTGTGCTTTGTTATTGAATTGTAAATATTGACATTTAAATTGCTTCAAACTACCGTAGCATAACTATGAATAGCAATATAAAGTTTCATGCTTTGTTATTGTATTGTAAATATTGACATTTAAATTACTTCAAACTATCATAAACATGAATACCAATATATTGTAAATGCAAGTTTATTGGTCATCGATATGCTATTGATTTTTGAAAAGTTTAATTATCAGCTAGCACTTTTAAGAATGCACTTTATTCACATGTGCATGCTGTGTTATTGTATTGAAGATCTTGACATTTATACTGCTTCAAACTATACATGAATAGCAATATAATGTAAAAGCAAGTTTATTGGTCATCAGTATGCTATTGATTTTTTAAAAGTTTGAATATCAGCTAGCATTTTTAAGAATGCACTTTACTCTTGAACACCAATTGATACATGCAGCACCTCTTTTACAAGGATTTATGTTGGATGATAAACTGATTAGAGATAGATATTTTAATTTTCAATTACTCATGATAAGACAATGCAACTACATGTACAACAATGATACAATTGCACATTTTCACACTTTGCTTTTGAGTTCATCATAGATAATATGAACAGAGGCGGATCCAGGGAGGAGCCTTCTCAAAAGAAAATAGCAGGAAAATAGCTGAGAAATATTCACATAAATGTTCAGTTTACGCATTCAGAAATGCCACAAAATGTACCATAGATCATCTTAAGGTTCAAAATTTTCATAAAGGCCCATGTTCGCAATTTCGTACATTTCATGCCCCCCCCCCCTTTTGAAAAATCCTGGATCCGCCCCTGATGAACCTATGTAAATAAAATACCCATCACTGGCTTCCTGTTCAGAATCATGTGCAACACAGCATAATAGTCTTTTCATGCATTATCACAACAATGATAGATCTACACTGGCAATTGAGATTGCTTTAGATAGATGTAAAGTTTATGTACATTACAGGAAATAAGCCCTCAATAACTAATTGCTTAAGAGATAATAGAATCAAAAGGCACTTTGTGATTTACACTTGAATGGAGGGTGCTTAAAAAACTGTCATCAGTTTGTCAAATTGAATTTACTGAATTCAAGAATTTGTTATGTTTGAAAAGTTTCGATCTCTCATGCATATTATCTGGATTCTTAAAAACCTGTAAAATAAATATTAATTGCAATAATTCTATGATAAGTTATAGGCATAGTAGATTTGATGTATTACTGTATAATGGTATAACCCAATAATTTGTGCATATCAATATAAAAAGGAAATTACAATATAGTTGATAAAGATATTATTGATGATTATGTATGAAAAGCAAAATGTAAGCATGTTATAGACATCTATTTATTTTCATATTAATTGATCCCTTTTGTCATACCAATCTTCCTAATTCAGTTGATGTTCTGTTTAATGATTTAAAGGTCCTGATGGACTGACCATCGATCCAATATCTCGTCTGTTGTATTGGACTGACGTTGCCCGCAATACTATTACAGTCTCAAGTCTAGATGGGACTACAATCAAGACCTTGGTAGACTCAGACCTGGACCAACCTAGGGCCATAGCGCTAGACCCAGTAGGAGGGTAAGGCTATTGACATTGAATTGAATTGTATTGTATTTGTTTGCAGTTTATTCAATTGAATGGGATCTATATGTATTTGGTTTGGATGAGATTTAATTAAATTGAATTAAATTTGGCGGATATTATTGACCTCTATGTGACTGAACTGAATGGGATAGGATTAAGCATTGTAGAACTAGATCCAGTAAAAAGGTGGACTGAGTAAACTAGAAATGGGATAGAGTTGAAATTCATATAATTGAACTAATTTTGAATACATTGAATTTGATCCAAATGATTTGAATTTAATTTAAACTACTAGTAATTGTTTTGAATTTATACTTGATGAAATTGATTGAAATGGTTTGAATTGAATTGGATTAGATTGTATCGAAATGACTTGAATTGAATTGAATTAATTGGATTGAATTGCATTGGGTTGGACTGAATCGGAGTGCAATGAATTAAATTGAATCGATTTAAAAAAAAAATTGAATGACATTGAATTAAATCTTATTAGATTGAATTTCATTGGACTGAATTGAATCGAATTGGATTGCCTTGAGTTGAATTGGATTGAATCAAACTCATTTGAATTAAATGCATTGAACTGGATTGAAAAAATTGGAGTCAAATGATTGGATTTGATGCTGCTTGTAAGTGTCGGCTTGCATGGTGATGTAGATATACAGTAGGCTTGCGGGTGCACCATGTGAGAGAGAGAGAGAGAGGATTGAGGAGTCCTGAAAGGACTCTGACTCGGTAATCTTTCTTGGGGGTGTGTAGTCATGAAAAGGACTGTTTGTTATCTTCCTTAGCTTATAGGTCTAAGGAGAACTATAGCGCTTGGAGAGGATGAGTGGCTCGACGTTTCGAACAGGTTGACTATTCGTCGTCAGGAGTGGAGAATAGCTGGCGTGTGTGAGCTTAAGTCACCGGGGTGCGGACGTCGGGGAAAAATAGGTGACCGTGTGGGCTTGAGTCATCGGGGAGTGGACATGGATGGTCGGCTCGTTCGTCTGACTGTCCGTCTTGGCTGGAGTCCCCGGGTTGCGGACTAAGGAGAGTCTCGAATCGATGAGTGGGGTGTGCTGTCGGCGAGATGCTGTGTGTGTCCCCGACGTAGGCGGCGTTGTAGTCTGCTGTCGTCTGCTGTGCATTGTAGCTGTGAGGCTGGCGGCTGCTTTGAGGGTTCGGCGGATGGCGGTGGTTGATGTACGGGTGTCTGTCGGGGTGGTGAGGGCGGTGGTGGAGGAGGAGTGACCGGGTACTTGTTGATGAGGGGTTTCCAGATGTCGTTGATGTATAATTCTGAGTCTTGGGGCACGGTGTTATGGCGGTGAATTTCGATGGCTTCTCGGATTCGGCCTGTATGCCAGTGCTTCATCATGGAAATGTGATGACTGATATCCCATTCGATGGTGTGTTCGTGTTGCTGGAGACTCCAGCCCAGACGGACAGTCATACGAACGAGCCGACCATCCATGTCCACTCCCCGATGACTCAAGCCCACACGGTCACCTATTTTTACCCGACGTCCGCACCCCGGTGACTTAAGCTCTTGCACGCCAGCTATATTCTCCACTCCTGATGACGGATACTGTAGTCAACCTGTTCGAAACGTCGAGCCACTCATCCTCTCCAAGTGCTATAGTTCTCCTTAGAACTATAAGCTAAGAAAGATAACAAACAGTCCTTTTCAGGACTACACACCCCCAAGAAAGATTACCGAGTCAGAGTCCTTTTCAGGACTCCTCAATCCTCTCTCTCTCTCTCTCTCTCTCACATGGTGCACCCGCAAGCCTACTGTATGTTTGGATTTGACTGCATTGAATTGAATTAATTACACTGAATTACCTAGAAATTAATTGAATTAGAGTTCATTAAATTGGGTGGGAGTGGATTGAAGAAATTAATCCAATTCAATGTATTGATTCATACTTCTAAACAAAGAAAATTTTATCCTTCTTAAATAATGTATGACAAAGGACATTTTAATGCCTTACCAACTGGCAGAACCTCATTACAACTGTTTGATTGAAAGTACACCTACATGGAGTACAGGTACATTTATTACATTTAATTTAGTCAGGATATAAACTCTGTTTCAATTCTTATTTTTCATTATCCAATTACTCATAGTTACATGTATTACAGTGACTGGGGAACAGCTCCAAAGATAGAGAAAGCTCACATGGATGGTCTAAATAGACAGATCCTAGTCGACTCAGATATTGGCTGGCCTAATGGAATTGCCTTGGACTTAGATGGTAAAGTATGATTCATATATATATATATATATATATATATATATATATATATATATATATATATATAAAATAAATATATATATACCAGGGTGAGATATAATACTGTGTTGTTTTGTACTGTATTGGTTTATTGAGATAAAAATCATTAAACAGGCAATTAAAAATTGTTCAATTTACAGAGTAAAAAGGACATGAAATAAAAGTACATTGATAATACATGATCTAATTTTAACTTAATGAGCATTGTTTATATTGATATGCGAGTTGCAAGTTTCATTGTTATCATAAAATTGCCCTTTGTTTTGAGTACCGTAAAAGAAATTAAAAAATTAATGACTTGTTTATTGCAACAATGACAGAGTAGGTAGCCCACAAAGACTGATAGAGATTGTGAGTTGTAGTCATTGATATTTAAGATATGAAGGTTCCTAGTTTAATACAAAGAAAATGGATTATGGGATTGACTGAGCAGGTGTTTTAGTTGGTAGGAAATGTATTATCAGGAAAGGACATAAAATGCAGAATTTCAGTTCAAGCTGGGGGATTGGTTGATACTGTATCTGCTCAGTATATTGCAGGGTCTCTAGTTACTAATAAGAATTTGTAAAACTTTCTATCTAGTGTATTTTTACAATTCAAAATGTCTATATTTTGTATAACTCTACTGGCCGATTGTAAATCGTATATTCTTGTGCAAAAATATAACGTCCTAAAAAGGAAAATCAGTTGTTTATGATACACAGCAGAGTAAATATAGATTTTGCCAATATTTTTGACTTTGTCAAAAACTTCAGTGCCATTGAAATTACCTTTTTTTTAAATATAGCTTAGATATATAGTCTTATACATATGGTGTACAGTATGTTTGATTTACATGTTTGTGCTATGTTCATGTCCATGTAGCTTCTAATTTACAAGCAATTACAGGCACACCAATAAGATTTATATTTGTTATGATATACATTTAGTTATGTTGTTTTTATTTGAATACCTTTGAATCATTATTCTTCGTAAATTAAATATGTAATTGTGAAAATTTACTGAAATAAAGCTGAACTGAATGTTGAAACTATATTAACCCACTATTTCTTTTTAATAACCAACACAATGTTGTGAAGCTTTTGTCTGATATACATTGAAATCATCAGCCGGAAAGCTCTACTGGGGTGACGCGAAGATAGACCGCATTGAACGCATTAACCTAGATGGAACTGGCCGTGAAATGATCATCAATTTAGGAGCCAGGGGTCATCCGTATGGGGTCGCACTTTATGGATCCCATGTTTATTGGAGCGACTGGAAGAAGTACGGACTGATGAGGGCTAACAAGGATGACGGATCAGGCATGGAAGAAGCAGGGCCTCAGACGTTTACAAGGATCAGTGAGATACACATCTATAACTCTACCAGGGAGTTATCAGGTCAGTTAGGGTCAAAGGTTGACTACTGTATGTCAAATGACTAAACTTCAAATCCCATATTGATTGACCAGTGTTTATCCTCATGTTGCAGTTGACACCTATACATGTACAAACAAAATATTCAGATGATTCCAGGCAGTCTTTAATAATCAATAATTTGTCTGTAGAACTTTTAATAGCTCAGAGAGTACACGACTATCACTTATCAAGGGAACTACGTGTCAGACATATCTTTGTTTATCATGTCTTTAAAAGACATATTCACATTCAACCTGTACTTTACAGAAAAGAAATCTTTGATAAAGTAAAGATGAGACTAAAATATACAATAGTAAAGTATCATGAATAAATATTTCAGAAATATTGCAATGCAAGTACCTTTGATTTAAAAAAAAAGATTATCAGACATTTTGTGGAGAATGGTAATCTGTTAAGGATTGTATTTTGAATATTTTTTGTAAAAATTGACTGTCGAGAACACAATCAGTTGAATTCCTTTTATAGCAATATATGTCTTGAACAGTGTTATCTTAAAAGTACATGTAGGTAAGGACTTATTTTTGCTACCATCCACTATCACTGGTTGCATAAACTCCAATGAAAAAACAAGATATAACCACCCCTTACCACAACTCCATTTTACTTTCCGTTTAATTTTGATTTATTCTTTTCTCTGCGATGAGGAAGAATCCTGTTAACAGGTGTTTTTTTTAAATCTTTGGCTCCCTACAGGAAGTAATGCCTGTTCTAAAGACAATGGACGCTGCAGTCATCTATGTATTCCTACCCCTACTGGTAGAGTATGCAAGTGTGCTGATGGTATTGAACTGGACTCTGAAACAAATACTACATGTCTTACTTCAAGTAAGCTAAACCTGTATATTAAGACTACTCAAGGAAGACCTGATAAATGGGGAGTCTTTATAATGAGGTGCTTTAATACAAGATTGATAGGAAACACATGAAGAGAAAGAAAAATGGTAGTCCTGATAGACAGGTATTTTTCCCCGTCTAGGTGGTTAGAAAAAGCAGATCTTATTGGCAAGACATTAATCTACATTTGCCATTCTCCATTTGCCATTCTAGGTGTTATATGGCCATCAGTAGGAAGGAATTCCTTGAATTCTGTGAGCACTGAAAATTATGTAGCATCTGTCTCAGAAAGCTCCTTAGTAATTGGGTACAACTTGTGCACAGGGTGCACACAGGTGTTGTGGAACAATGATAAGTATAATAATAATAGTAATGATGATGATGATGACATTGGATATTTTATAGCACACATATCCACCAAGCAAGGTGCTCAAGGCGCTCCAATATTCCCCAGGCTCTTCTAGGCCACAGATTTCTGTGCTCACAGCATTTACGGAATACCTTCCAACTGGTGCCCATTTAACACCTGGGTGGAGAGTGGCGAATGTAGAATAATGTCTTGTATTGCCAAATGACATTAGTCTAGTACATAGCCTACATGTAAGTTGCTAGACTGGGTAACACAAGGTAGAAGAATTCCTGCCATAGCACCAACGTCCTTTGGAAAGCATTAATCGACATGTGCCACTCTAGACCCAGATGAGGTAAATGAGGACATGATAGGATTATTCCTTAAAATGCACTGTAGGCATTTTGGTTTGTTATGTTGTAACGGGTAATGTATATGAGAATTAGTCATTATATGCACTGTGCCCTAATAGCAGTTGCTAAAGTAAAGGTAACATTTCCAAATCATTGTGAGAACACAGTGACGATCATAGTGTCTATGTGCTCTACAAAAAGTATTATCATTATTTAAAAAAAGTTAATATTAATATAATTTTTTTATTTTGTTTTAATTATTATTATTAACCTTGCTTGTAAACCCTGTGTAGATCTGACGTGTAATGCGAGTGTATCATTTGGTCGTTTCCTGATGGATGATTGCACAAGGGAGCCTGGAAGACGATGTACTGTAGAGTGTATTCCAGGCTATTGGTCTGTTACAGAGGAATACGATGTCCTCTGTATGCCAGACGGCGAGTGGGAGATGGATATGGACACATTCTGTACAGGTTAGTTATGTACCACAAGCAATATTCCATTCAGCTAGGTCATATTACAAAAAGGCATTCAGATTAACTTTTAAAATTTGTCATTGTGAGCTAGGTAAATCTATATGTGATAAATGTTTAGAATTTATCACATATTTTATGTCTCTTGATGAAGGACACTAAAAAAATTGTATTGATATGAATATAATTGGTATAGTTTCATGATTCTACATACTAGCTTTGCTTTGATCCATGGTAATCTGCATATTTATAATTCCAATCTTTGCATGCATTCACAATGTTTTGCAGATTGGAAGTTAAATTGGTGTCAGAAATAAAAGTTCTTGTACTTGTATTCTTTTGGAATTTTCTTTCAGTGGTGGAATGCCCAGTGGTCAATGTTACAGCCAATGCATCAGTGGTATCATGTGCTGATCCTCCTATCCAAAACTCAACATGTGTCCATGAGTGTCAGTTTGGCTACAAGTGGAGCAGCGGAAATGATCACCTGACTTGTGAAAAAGATGGCACATGGTCTGGTTCAACACTTTACTGCACTGGTATTAAGTTCAGCCTCTATTTGTTTTTCCTTTTTTTAACCTGTATTTAATCCCTCCTATATACTATCTGAGAGCATTATGTTTAAAAGGATTCCCCTGAAAGTCAGTCTGTGCTACACAAATTCAAAAATATTTTACAAAGTTGCTTTTTTCGCCTCTTTAAATGGTTGCTTGTTTGCCACATTTGCAATTTTGTACTTCATATTAGGCACCAATTGAGGCAAGGATTGCTTTGTGCAACATAATGGCTTTGCAGCTAGTATTACCCATTTCCGGTCTTGATTAACTCCTTGCCAACCATTTTTACGGGGCTATTGTTTAATTTTGCTTCAGAAAACTTAAATAATCTTGAAGTCTCATGATGAATACAATATGACACAGTGAGATTATTTGTGTGGCATATACAGAGTTAATCTATATTTAAATTACATTTATTCACAGTTTATTGTTTTAGTTTTAGTTTTTATACATTTACTGAATATCTACAACTGTTTTATTTAGTATATCTTCCACAATGCAGCTTTTAACCGTGATGGATCTCCCAATATATTGTTTAATGAACTTGCATTGAATCTGACAATATTCTCTTCTATGTGCCAGAGCCTGTGATTTAAAATTATGTTTGATTCTACATGTACAACAATATTAGGAAATGATTGATGAATGCAAATAATTTTTTAGCACATATACTTTATTTTTCATTTCTCCCAATTAACAACTTTTTCTTTACCCGTTCCAGTGGTGACTTGCCCTCCGCTAGAGAATTCAGACAATGGAATGTACCATCCGCTTAACTGTACCACAAGTGGGGGACAATATGACGATCAGTGTGTATTATTTTGCCAAGATGGCTATCGCCATGTGGGCACATTTATACGAACATGCGGGCTGGATGGGCATTGGTCGGATGAGGAAATCAGTTCATCATGCATTGGTAAGAAGAGATAGAGGGAGGCATGGGGGTAGAGATTATACTCATATTGCTTTATCCACACCCCCCCCCCCAGAAGAAAAAAAACACAAAAATTACTTTAATATATTTGAGGATCGATGATACATGTATTTTTTAGGCATACCACTCAAGCAGTTATATAATGGAACATGTACATTACAATAGCACCGAGGAGAGGAATTGATAAACTTTACATACTAGAATCATTGATAACTTGACATTTATACTGTACATGTAATTTCTCTTAAAATGTTGTTTCTATCTTATTGGAATGAGCCTTTTTTAAATATGTTTTGTATCTATTCCATATATTTCGAATTTTTCACGAAATCTGTATTTCATTTTTGTCTCGCCTGCATAGCAAAAAGCAAGACATAGGCGCTGCTTTTCTGGTGACGGCGGCGGCGTCAACATCAAAAACTTAACCTGAGGTTAAGTTTTTGAATTTTTGATATAATTTTTAAAGTATAAGCTCTTAATCAATGAAACTTTGACTATAGGGTTATCTAGTGTCCCCAATCATGTGAGTAGAATTTCAGATCACAAAGTCAAGGTCAAAGGTCATTTCAGGTCAACAGAAGTGGACTATGTTGTAGCATCATCATCGAAAACTTAACCTAAGGTTAAGTTTTTGAATTTTTGATATAATTTTGAAAGTATAAGTTCTTAGTTAATGAAACTTGGACTATAGGGGTTATCAAGTCTCCCCAATCATGTGAGTAGAATTTCAGGTCACTAAGTTAAGGTCAAAGGTCATTTAAGGTCAACAAACTTAGACTTTGTTGTGGCATCAACATCAAGATTTTCAAAATGCTTCTTCTTCGTTATTTTTCAACCGATTTCGATTCTGATTGTTTCATATGATAGGGCTAGGAGGGGGATTTAAAACTGATTTGCTCCATTGATTAATTATGGTAATTTATGCAAATTTATTCCAAAAATAATTTAAATTTAATTTAATTTAAATCACAAAAAATGCTTCTTCTCCTTCATATTTCGACCGATTTTGATTTGGTTTGCTTTATATCGTAGAGCTAACTTTAGTACACTAAAGCTCTACACAGAATTTTGAAATTGTTCTCCATTAATTAATTATGGTAATTTATGCAAATTTATTCCAAAAATAACAAAAATTGCTTCTTCTCCCTCATTTCTAGACCGATTTTGATTTGGTTTGCCTTATCTGGTAGAGCTAAATTTGGAACACTAAACTTCTACACAGAATTTTGAGATTTTACTCCATTGATTATTTATGGTACTTTATGCAAATGAAATGAAATTATGTCCCTTCCAGGGCATCAAATTTTTATTTTTTGACCAGTTCAAAAGTGTACCACATAAAATTTACGATATTTGTTGTTGCGAGATGCGAATGAGCGCTACGTCATTGACGTTCTGGTTTATGGTATTGAATTGCGTTATGCAGGCGAGACCGCCGAGAGCGTATCCCTTGTTTGTTTTACTATGTTTCATTCTGAAAAGCTATGACTATACTGCATACATGCCAACTGTTCAGATTAAAGAGGAACATTCCTCCTTTTGGGAGAAGATAATTATCATTTTAATGCAGGTGTTCCTCTTCCTGTACAAATTTGTCTGTAGTATTGAATAGGAGAGTTAGGATTGTTCCTCTTTTTTTTTGAAAATAGCATAATTTGTACAGATTTATGATTTTCAAATGTTGGCATGTATGATACTGTACATGATTCATATGATTTGAATTTATGTTACATAATTCAACTTGCATAGAACATGTAGCTTCTCTATAAATAATTATTTAAAATGTTAATTCAAACTTCTTCTTTTTTGGGGGGGGGGGGGGAGGGGGGGGGGGGAGGGGGTTGGTGTTTATACCAATATGTCATCATACCTTGTAACTTAATCCTTCACTTCGTAGTCCTTTACTTCCTTTATAGACACGGATCCCCCAAGTTTTGGCAACACTTGCCCTGAGAACCAGAATGTAACAGCAGACCATGGCATGGCCTATGTGGTGCTGAATGTACCAGACCCCATAGCAGAAGACAACTCAGGGGAGCCAGTGACGTATCTCAGATCAGCTGCGTCTCCCTACCAACTTGAGGATGGCGAGAATGTCATCACCGTGGTTGCTCTGGATGAGGCTAATAATACAGCCACCTGCAACTTCACAGTCAATGTGACAGGTTAGTCTGTACTTGAAAGTCAGTGTGACAGGTTAGTCTGTACTTGAAAGTCAGTGTGACAGGTTAGTCTGAACTTGAAAGTCAATGTGACAGGTTAGTCTGTACTTGAAAGTCAGTGTGACAGGTTAGTCTGTACTTGAAAGTCAGTGTGACAGGTTAGTCTGTACTTGAAAGTCAATGTGATAGGTTAGTCTGTACTTGGAAGTCAGTGTGACAGGTTAGTCTGTACTTGAAAGTCAGTGTGACAGGTTAGTCTGTACTTGAAAGTCAGTGTGACAGGTTAGTCTGTACTTGAAAGTTAGTGTGACAGGTTTAATGTCTGTACTTGAAAGTCAATGTGACAAGTTAGTCTGTACTTGAAAGAAATGGAAGAAGAAATACAATTTAAAAAACAATGACTTGTAAATCAAGCATGAAAATCGTCATACTTGTTTGTTGGGCATAAGGAATGCCGATGTCTTCAATTTGCTACTTATTGGGATTCAGACACTGAATAACTTTTCCATACACGTTTTCAAGAAGGAGAAAGATGAATGGGATATCATGTACTAAAGCGCTCAGAAACTCATCTGTACTTCTGAACATGAGTGACTAGCGAACAACTGAAATTCATGATAAAGGCAGTTACGAAAATAAGTTCAAGAAAAGGGCAATCTATTTTGCTTTGTATGACCTAGATTTATTTTTTCAATGACCATAAAAGTATGTAGGGTTGGTTGGTATTTACATTGCCCTGATTTTTACAAGGAATATCTTTTGTTTAAAATTTGATCAATTATTGCATTTTGATCTGGAAATCAGACATAGGTTGGGGTTGTTGCACAAGCTGTTTGGGGTCGGTTGTGATCACAGTTTACGCCTTGGCAAGGTGTCGAGGGGCTACAGGTCAGTTATGCCTAGGGACAACATACATGTACATCATGTAGTACACATGTGTAAGTTGTATTTCTATGACTTCTGCGCAAGTCAAAGATTGCCTAAGTATCCACATTCCACTCAGTCTCCTCAACGTTGCTTTTGGGAGGTTACTGTAGTTCCATATCATGGTACATGTTTGTTTGACACAAAGAAAATAAGCATATTATTTGTTGCCTATTGTATTTTTCCACAGTGAAATATTGTTCTTACCTGAGTGTGCCTTTGAATGGAGATATTGCTGGTAACTGCAGCTATCACTATGGTTCAGTCTGTCATTTTACCTGTAACTATGGTTACCGTCTCATTGGATCAAACACAAGGACTTGTGACATGGGAGGGTCAGATGGCAGCCAGCCAACATGGGTCGGCCAGAAAGCCGTCTGCGAACGTGAGTCCCTCCAATTTTGTCATTGATGTAATAATTGTATCTGTTTCTCCCTCTCTTTGACTTTAATATTCACACAGGCCTGTTGTCTTAAAAATAAAAGGGAGGATGAATAATGTACTTGTACAAGGGTCTCTTGAGTGCCCAATCATCTGTGTGTTATAAGATACAGAAAATAAAGCACAGTACACTTTAAACTAAAAACTGGAGCTTTATTGTGGCATATGTGAATATGCCTTGAAATAGATTTGGCATTCGCAGAAAACAGAAACCCAAATTTATCCTATTGGTTGAATTGAATAGATTTCTAACCCAAAATACTATCTAAAGGCAAATGTGCTATTGAGTTCAATACTGTAAAGATTCATAGATATATTTTTATCTAGATAAAGAAATATGAGAATCAGAGAAGAATACTAAAAGTGACCTGGTAATACATGATGTTCTATTTGAGTACTATTTGAGACTTATTCATGACTTTGACTTCAGCTATCCAGTGTATGCATGCACCCCACAGTACCCTCTAAGCTGGCAAACAGGCTGCAAGGCCTCCTATAACTCAGGAGTACCTCTGAACAGGGTTGGTGTTCAAGAGGGAGTGGTATTCCAAGAAATTAATTGTCCTAGAAACATTAATGCGATCACAGAGATTTTCCAAAAATCAATTTCAGACAATTTCTAAAGCCGTGTGTGTCACCTATTGTAATGAGCAACCATGACAATGACATAATCTGAAGATTGTTTGTATTAGAGCAATACAAGAGGGTTTGCCTTTGAGTTGGTTTCTTGAAAGTCTTTTTGATTATGTACTATTTCAGGTATCGAGTGTCCGCATCCCGTAGTTCCATCCAAGGTGGTAAAGTCTGGTTGTGAAGCCCCCTATACACCAGATGAACAGTGCACCTACATGTGTGACCCTGGTTACTTCAGAGTCAATGGGTCAGACTTGCGGACTTGCCAGGTGAATGGGTCCTGGTCTGGAGAGAACTTTTACTGTGAAAGTAAGTGAGAAATGTGTCCCACGTACAAGCCCTTTTTATTCAGAATCTAATTGAGTACTGCATGGTCATGAGATTACACTGAAAAAGAAACTGGAAACAATTGGCAAGGTTGATTATGAGGTATATAGGAATGTATACATGTATACTGTGAAGTTTTGGAAACATAATATTGAAAAGGAATGGACTCAGTCTTGCTGCAAATCACATTCACTGCACATAGAAATGGGTATATTGGAGTATACACACACAATTGGCATCAAATCACATTCACTGCACATAGAAATGGGTATATTGGAGTATACACACACAATTGGCATCAAATCACATTCACTGCACATAGAAATGGGTATATTGGAGTATACACACACAATTGACATGAATGTTTGGTCCAAGTATTTCAGAAATTTATCATCACATTTCAAATGTCGGTATGAAGAATTTATATGTAGCAACAAAAATCAATATTTTCTCAATTTCAATATTGATTCTTTCATGTTTGTTTGGTAGGCAGGAAGTGTGATCCCATCCCACCATTTGAGCATGGGTTGATAGAGCCATCATCTTGTAAGACCATAGGAGGAACAGTTCATAACATCTGTACACTGTCTTGTACAGAGGGGTATAGATATCAAGGACAGAGAGAACATACATGCCAGGAGATTGGAGGATGGAGTAACTATGATGACTCACACATCTGTGAAGGTTGGAACACATTTATTCCAGTTCCCTCATATTTTATATATTGAATAGATGTGGTACTTCACTTTTTATGAGCCATTGGATAGATCTCCCTGTGCCATATTGTATTACTCGTGAAATATTCATACCAGTGGTTGTTAGACTATGTACATTTTCCTGACTGTAAGATTGATCTATTGTATACAGACGTTAAAAGGGCTAGAATGTAGCTAGTCAAAGACTGGAAATTAGTAATTTTGCAGAGGTTTTGTGTTCCACAAAGCAATCCTTCTGTTATCGGATGCACCCGTGGGAAATGAGCGGCTGTGGCAATCAGCACTTGTGGCAAAGAAAAGTTTAGTTTTGTTATCATAGTGCTAAGAAAGTTTTCTTGTATTCTCCAAGGTACGTACTATCTGATTGACTACATGTGTAGGTAATTTGGGCTATAATGAATATCTTACCTTGGCACAAATGCTCTGACTCGGACGCAAACTATAGTGTCATAGTCAAGTCATCTAGAGATGCAATGGTTGTGAACTCAATTCCAGGCATGGTACTTCATTATGTCTTTGAGCAAGGCGTTTTATCTATATTGCTCTTCTCCACCCAGTACCAGTAGAATGCAAATTTCAATTTTTTGGTATTAGCATATGTGCACATTTCAAAATGCCAACTGGCTTGAAAGCTCCTGAAAGGAGTGATTGGTTGATAAAAAGTTAACCAGGTTCAAGAAGTCTTGGCTCATGTACATGCATGAACATTGAAAGACTGAATGAGAAGAGTTTGGGTTTGCGACATCAGATGTTGAAGGACTCGAGATTAATAAACAGACAGTCCTAGGCATATTGGAAATGCAGTCACATTCATCTACTTTTTACCTTAATTATGTAGCCTAATTCTATAGTCTTATCTCATGTTTCAGATGTCACACCCCCACATTTCAATGGTACTTGTCCACAAGATCAAACAATTACTGCTCCAGCCGGCATGACAGAAGTGGTCGTAACATGGGATATGCCTCAACCAGTAGACACCCATAGCCAGATTTATAACTTCACTTCATCACGGCAGCCAGGTGTTACCTTACCCGAAGGCACTCATGCTATCATTATAACTGCTACAGATTTAAATGGCAACAACGCAACTTGTCGCTTTTATATCACTGTCCAACGTAAGTGCAGGCAGTGATAAACTCTTTTTATATAATAGTTGTATAGAGTATTTATAATTTGATAAGTCCACATTACTAATATGCTCAAGGGACAAAAGAAAAGAAAGTTAGAGCATGAATATAATTTTTTCTGTTTTCTAAGCACATTCGTAACAATTCTGTGGATATTGAATCCTTCCCCAACCATTCCACAACCATTCCACATTGAAATCTTCTTAAAAATTTTTTTTTTTACAGAAAGAGGGATTATGTTTAAATGTCTTAGAATTTGTCTAGTTTAACCCTATCTAGCCCGGGGAGGGGGGGGGGGGCTTCTTTTTCGCGATCATTTTTTAACGCAAAAAAATCTTGCGCTGAAATTTTATGACTTTTTTCTTTCGAGTCTTGCGCATTTTTTGAAAGAAATTTTTCGAAAATCGGATCTACCATTACAAAGTCACGTGTCCTTTTGTCTTTGCATGTCAGCCCAAAAGTCGCTTATTTTTGTGATTTGTGTACAAAACATATGGAAATCTTATTTTTCAAATAAAGAGATAAAAAATTGGTTATTTGGTCTTGTTTATAGTTCTGGGCCCCGTCTTACAAAGAGTTGATATCAATCGTAACTTATTTGCGATTGATATCAATCGTAACTATGTACATAAGAGATAGGAGACTGCAAACTTGCGATTGATTGGAGGACTTACGATTGATTTGGATCGATCGTAACTCTTTGTAAGACGGGGCCCAGGTGTTTATTTTGGGGTCAAAATAGTTGAATTATAGTTGAAAATGAAATAGAATAACAAAAACAATAAAATACATAAGTTAAAAAAACAAAGAAATACATAAGAAATTATAAAAAAAAATAGATAACATAATAAACCTGGCACTTCCAAATTTTTTGGCTGTATTATTATCCCAAATGGTCTAAATAATATATGTAGTGATAATTAATGTTTAAATATAAAGAATATATGATTTATGAATAACAATTTTAAAATGTTATTACCATATTTGCATAAATTACCATAAATATGCAAATGAGTGATATTTTCAAAAAAATTGGAATTACCATAGTATTCTATACACTTCACTTGACATGCATGCAAATTTTTGCGGCGATAGGTCGTTTCAAGGCCGAGATCATAGGGGGGGCCTTAGAAGCCCCCCCCCCGGATATGCAGTTTCAAAATAGCCCGGGCTATATAGGGTTAAGAAAGTTGTCTTAGCCGTATTCTAAAGACGTTAAACATTTTGTCTTAGCTTAAACTACAGATACAAAATTAAGAGATCAGAGGACATTATTTTGGAAAGCCAAGCAACTCAACTGCAGCTCGATTTGCCTGTTTAATTTTCATGTTCAAATCAAAATTGCTCCCTACAAAAGTTATACACAAATGTAAGGGACCTAACATTATGCCAATGACACACCATTCCTTTTCTCTGCATTTTTTATTCCAAGGACAATAAATTACTTCTTTGCTTTTCTTTGCTTCTTAGGTTTTCTATAGATTCTCTACGAACAAATAATACTATTCCACAGGCAATATTGATATACAGGCGCTTCTGTGCCCTGAGCCGATGGACATTACCGTACACGTAGCTTTATACATGAATATAGGTCAACTGATAACCTGCACTGCATCCATACTGCATCCATGCCATAGCTGTGTGCATATACAGCACTGTACAGCAAGATATTTTAACATTCTCAGGAGTGTCGTTTGAATATAGGGTAGAATTATTCCTTATCTGAGATATCTCTATTGTATTGGAATGCAAGCTTTTGAAGCATATTTTCTTAGATAAAATGTAAGAATATTTATTTTCTCTTAGGGTAAAATTCTCATCCTCCAATGTTTTTAAACCGTGTGAGTCAAAAAAAAGTTTACACCTAGAAAATTGCTAATTATTTTTAAAATCATCTATGAACAGTAAATTATTATACATCTTATGAAAGAGTGTTTTATTCCAAATCATTTGGTACCATTTTTGTGTGGTATGTTCACGCTTGGATGAACAGGTGGCATTGTTTGCGAGAGTGCAAACTTGACTTGCGCCAAAGTGATGCCTACAGTATGTATTATATTGGGATTAGCGAAGTGAGAGAATGAATTGAATGTATCAAATGAAATGCATTGCATATGTTTTTTGCAAAGGGCAAAGTCACACACACCCTCACACACGCACACAAAAGTTTGTTGATATTTGATATTCGATATTTGATATGTGTGGCATGATTAATTTTGTTAGGGATGTTATTTGAATCCGCAAAGACCAAATTAATACCCAAATCCCAATTGTTTTATTCAAACATCACATAAGCAACTTTGGCGCAAGTCGATTTTTGCACTCTCGCAAACAATGTCTCCTGTTCATCCAAGCGTGAACACATACCACACAAAAATGGTACCACATGAATTGGGATAAAACACTCTTTCATAAGACATATAACAATTTAATGTTCATCAATGATTTTTTTAATAATAAGCAATTTTCTAAGTGTAAACTTTTTTTTGACTCACACTGTAGAATTCACATTTTGGCTAAGACTTTTCTCTTAGCAAAAAGAAAAAGCTCTTAAATTTCATACTTGATAAGTTTATTGAATACAGGCCATGATTTTTTTTAATGAAATGACTATTAAATGAGTATTAAATAAGTTTGAGAGGCTTAATAATTCAAATACTTGTAGTATAGATCTACAGTTTTTGACAATGAAATATATTCAAAATTATTTCCGATGCTGAAGAAGTTAAAGAGTATGACAAGTAAACCTTTATTTTGTTTTTGTTTTTGAAAATTGCAAGCATGTAAAAGATATTTGTATATTCCTAAGGTTTTTAGAATGATGGCATCCAATGTTCACATCAGGTCTTTCTGCTTTGAACACACATTCAGAGTAGCTTTTTGAGATTGTATAATCCTTCTCCATTCATTCCACAGTCATCAGATGCGCACAAGAACTTCTACCTAGTAATTCCCGCTGGGTTGAAAGCTGTTCCCAACTTGTTGGCACAAACTGTACATTGGCATGTCGCCTTGGTTACACTCTGTCTGGGGCAGCGACTAAAAAGTGTCTTTGGGATGAACGGAGCTTGGCTGGAAACTGGCAGTGGATGGGTAACCAACCAGTTTGTCAAGGTACATTTATGCAATAGACTTGTCATTATAAAAAAGGATGATAGTAGTTATGATGATGATGATGATGATGATGACTATCAATGATGATGGTGATAATGATGATGATGATGATGATGATGGTGATGATGATGATGGAGATGATCGATGATGATGATGATGATAATGGTGGTGATGATCAATGATGATGAAAACGATGATTGTGGTGATGATGATAGAGATGATGGTGGTGATGATGCTGATGATGATGGAGATGATGAAAGCGATGATTGTGGTGATGATGATGGTGGAGATGGTGGTGGGGATGATGATTGAGATGGTGGTGGTGGTGATGGAAGTGGTGGTGGAGATGATCAATGATGATGATGATGATGATGATGGTGGTGGCGATGGTGGTGGTGATGATGGTGGTGATGATGATTGAGATGGTGGTGGTGGTGGTGGTGGTGGAGATGATGGTGGTGGTGATGATGATTGAGATGGTGGTGGTGGTGGTAAAGATGGTCAGTAATGATGATGATGATGATTGAGATGGTGGTGGTGGTGGAAAGGATCAGTGATGATGATGATGATGGTGGTGGTGATGGTGGTGGTGATGATGATGATTGAGATGGTGGTGGTGATGATGAAGTAGATGGTGGTGGTGGTGGTGGTAAAGATGATCAGTAATGATGATGATGATGATGATTGAGATGGTGGTGTTGGTGGAGATGATCAGTGATGATGATGATGATTGAGATGGTGGTGTTGGTGGAGATGATCAGTGATGATGATGATGATTGAGATGGTGGTGGTGGTGGTGGGGATGATCAGTGATGATGATGATGATGATCGAGATGGTGGTGGTGGTGGTGGTGGTGGAGATGACGATTGAGATGGTGGTGGTGGTGGTGATGATGATGATGATGATGGTGGTGGAGATGGTAGTGGTGGTGGAGATAATCAGTGATGATGATGATTGAGATTGTGGTGGTGGGGGTGATGATGATGATTGAGATTGAGATTGTGGTGGTTTCAATTCAATTCAATTCAATTTCGGTTTTATTACAAATATACCAAATAAAAAGTCCAAAGACTAACAATAATTGGCTTACAATGTATCATATAAAAATGCATTAAAAACAGTAGATTCAAAAATTCAGTAATAAGTTAAATTACATTGCTCACATTGTATCATATCAAAATGCATTAAAAACAGTTGAATTAAAAATTCAGTAATAACTTAAAGTATGAAGGAAAAAAAAAAAAAAAAAGATTGTAAGTTATAAAATTGTGATAATCAGTTTGTCAGTGAATTGAGAAGAGAGAAGAAATGAAGAGTGAAAAGTGGAAGAGAGGGAGAGGGAAAGGATAACGAGAGAAAAAAGAGTTCAATTCATGACAAAAAAATGTAAGCAAATGAACGAGAATTGAGTTGATTCAGCTTAATGAAGCATTGTAAAAGTAAAATGCACATAATACGGAAATGTCAAATGATACATTAATACGAATGCCATTATGGAATTGTTATTATACTGTTTAAAATTGGTGAATGTCAACGACCTATACATATTGGTGAACATTATTAATGAGTAATTATCACATTGTCAGAAAATTGAGAAGAGGAAATACAAGACAGAAATAGAGAGACAGTGGGAGAGGGGAGGAGGGAAAGGAGAAGGAGAGAAGAAAGAAGAAATAAAGAGTGAAAAGTGGAAGAGAGGGAGAGGGAAAGGATAACGAGAAAAAAGAGAGTTCAATTCATGACAAAAACAAAATGTAAGCAATTGAACGAGAATTGAGTTGATTCAGCTTAATGAAGCATTGTAAAAGTAAAATGCACATAATACGGAAATGTCAAATGCTACATGACTAAGAATGCCATTGTGGAATTGTTATTATACTGTTTAAAATTGGTGAATGTCAATGACCTATACATGTTGGTGAACATTATTAATGAGTAATTATCACATTGTCAGATAATTGAGAAGAGGAAATACAAGACAGAAACAGAGACACAGTGGGAGAGGGGAGGAGGGGAAGGAGAAGGAGAGAGAAAGAGCTAGAGAAAGGGAGGAAGAGAGAGAGAGAGAGAGAGACGGAGAGAGGGAGAGAGTTCGAAAAATGACAATACATAAAACAGATCTTACAAGATTTCAGTTGATCGAATTTAGCAAACGAACAAGAGAGGGAACTGCCGATTGTTTGTAACGCTGGGTTCTGCAACGTGGAAGGGACAAATGATCGGAGTTTCTTAAACTGCGGCAAGTATTCACATGGCGCGGTTGTGGCAGGAGATGGCGGTGTCTTTGAGAACCCAGAAGTGATTTCGCAAATCGCGTGAGGATCTCAACACGTCGGCTATCAAGAGATGAAATGTCAAATTGGTGAAGAAGGTCATCATAGTGAGAGTCAGTCGGGTAACAAATCATACGAAGAGCTCTCTTCTGTACTCGTTCAATTTCAGCAGACTGGCGCAGTGTTAAACTTGTTCCCCAAACAGGTACTGCATACTCTAGTATTGGTCGTATGTACACAGAGTATATGAACACGAGATCCTCCGGTTTGACACCAAACTTCTTGAGTTTACATAGAATGAAGTGGTGGTGGTGATAATGATGATGATGATGATGATGATGATAATGATGATGGTGGTGGTGGTGGTGATGATGATGATAGTAGCGAGTTTTCGCTCAGCAACTTACAGAACTTCGCGGACGCAGAGCACTCAGGTTTACGGCCGTCGCACACAGACCGCCCTGGATAAAATACGTGGTTTCGCTTTTCAGTGAATGCGTACGTATCTCTACGGGGGTATTGCATTTGCAATGCCATTAGGCAATTTTCGTAATGTAACCAAATTCAATGCATACGTCTTTGTGAAGTACCTCGATACAAAATATTTCATTCACCTGATAAGGATAATAGTATTTCAATAGACAGAATCCAAACTGCATACATTAGTTGTTGCCAGTTCAACAAACATTAGGGGTATTTCGCAAGCTCATTGCGGACAGAGAATCTGCGGTTCGTGTGCAAAATCGAGAAGCTACTATAGTAACAGCAGGATAATTGTTTCTGAACAATAACAACATGAATATGGATATAACATTAATTGTTTTAAAACTTAATGATAAATTGTTGAAATTTGATAAAAAGCCGTTTGTGGCTTGGTCGAGACAAGTTGTGCTAGTCGTGTAGTCCCGTCTGTACTTTATTGCGTGGAAGGGAACAGGCCATTTTCGTAATGTAATCAAATTTAATACATACGTCTTTGTGAAGTTCCTAAATACAAATTATTTCATTCACCTGTCTAGGATTTACAATAGTCAGAATGCAAATTGCATGTATTAAGTGTGGCAACAACTAATGTATGCAGATTGGATTATGTCTATTTAGATACTATTATTATTATCAGGTGAATGAAATAGTTTGTATCGAGGCACTTGATTCACTTGGGGCGTCATTGAGAACGCCCGTAGATTTGGTCAAAACCCGTTCTAGATTTCAGGGCCTCAGCGGTCATCCAACTGTTACTATAGTAACTTCTCGATTTTGCACACGAACCGCAGATTCTAATTTCGCAATGAGTTTGCGAAAATTGCCTAGTGATGATGGTGGTGGTGGTGGAGATGATCAGTGATGATGATGATGATAGAGATGGTGATGATAGAGATGGTGGTGGTGATGATGATTGGGATGGTGGTGGTGGTGGTGATGATGATGTTGATGATGATTGAGATGGTGGTGGTGGTGGTGGTGATGATGATGATGATAATGATGATGATGATGATGGTGGAGATGGTCGTGGTGGTGGAGATGATCAGTGATGATGATGATGATCGAGATGGTGGTGGTGATGATGATGATGATGATTGAGATGGTGATGGTGATGGTGATGGTGATGCTGTGGTGGTTTTGATGGTGGTGATGGAGCTGATTATGAATGCTACTGAATTACTCTAATAATGATGGTCGTGATGGATTTATTTATATACAGATTTTATTTTGAGAATCTATGAATAAGACTTTGTGTACCGGGTAGTCAAAATGATGAGAATGAGTTTTGGGGAATATATAGTCATTGGATTTATGATTGGTTGGAATGATCAGTGGTAATAGTTTTATTATTTTATTTTTCTTTAATTATGATTTCCATTTTGTATTTTATTTCTTTTTTACTTTTTTCTTTTTCTTTTCTATTTTCTTATTCTGTCTTCTTTATATCTTTTTGCTGATACATGTTTTTTGCAGTGCACTGATTAAAACAATATTTTTTTCAATTTTGTAAAGTAAATTGAATACTTGATGAATTGAATTTATAGTTATAAAAATAGATGATAATGTACATGATACATGTATTTCGAGTGATTCACCATTGAGAATGCAAAAATCTGTATTTTGTATTTCATTTAAAAAGAAATATTGTGGGTGCACTTTAACATAAAATTTTATGGTATATCATCTTAACCCATTGCTTATGGGAACCAGGGGCGTACGCAGGATTTTTTCAAGGGGGGGGTTTTAAAATATTTTGCTCCCGAAAATTTGAAAATCGCGCCGGCCGAAAAGTCGCTCAGTGGGGGGGGGGGGGGGGGGGGGGGTAAGCGGACACTTTTTTTTTTTTTTTTTGGAGGTCAAAAAAAATCGCAACGACTCAGCCAGCCGAAAAGTCGCTCAGTGGGGGGGGGGGGGGGGGGGGGGTAAGCGGACACATTTTTTTTTTTTTTTGGTCTCGAAATTTCATAATTTGACATTTTTGTCGTTGGGGGGGGGGGTAAGGTCACCTTATTTAGGTTAGCCGTGGGTATAATTTTTTTTTTTTTTTTTTTTTTTTTTTTTTTTTTAAATAATTTAAAAACAAAAAAAACAAAAAAAAAACAAAGGGGGGGGGGTTTTAGGTTTTTTTAGGGGGGGTTTACATACATAAAAATACCAAAGGGGGGGGTTTGAACCCCAAAACACCCCCCTGCGTACGCCCCTGATGGGAACCAGCTGGATCCTCTATTAAGCCTATGTATTGGGGGAATTCATTAGTCATTGAGGTCATTCATGAGAATCAGTATCCTGGGGGTGTTATATTGCATCAAATGTTTGTATATATTTTCAGTAATAATTCAATAAAAATTTGTCTTGGATTTATTAACTTAGACAACTTACATAACTGACAACTTACAGGAAAACTGTGTCATTGTACTCTCTTAGGTGTTGACTTTACATGTAAATGCAACATGAATACAATCATAAATCTTTACAATCATTAACTAACTGCCGTCTGGCTATTTTTTTTTCCAGCTGTGACATGCACTGCATTCCCAGTTGATCGACGTTCAATGATAGTGTTTGGCTGTAACGTCAGTCCGAGTAACCAAGCACCTCAACCCTATGGGACTCGATGCAAGATCTTATGTATCAAAAGTACTACTCGTCCTTTTATGGGATTCTTTCCTGGAGCCCCAGCCTTCCGTACAGCAACATGCCAGGAAGATGGCAACTGGTCTGCAGATACCCAGTGCACAAGTAAGCATGATGCTCAGTCATCTTTGAATGCTGGAAGCTGCCTTTATTCAGCTCATTGACCCTATTCTGTGCTGACAGAAAGAGTTTGTAAGGACTCTCGTGTCATTCTAGCTAGCATTGCTACATGCAGCCTGTTTTCATCAAACTGCTGACACTAGCTCTATTTTCTAGCAGCCAATCACAGCCTGTTATTATTTTGTGCGCTTTGTCCTTTAGCTCCCGCTTTATCTGATTTCAACTTTCTGTTCATTCTTGCAGAAAAGTTTAGTACGGTATGTCTTTTTTCGTTACTATTTTACTGTTATATATGTCCACCAACAGATATCGATGTACATGTATCCAGCTCCTTGCATTCTCTCATATCTTCTAGTAATCTTACTGCAGAAGGCCCATTCTATAATAATTTGGTTTTAATTACCTTGAGTTGCCACATCTGTATCAGTACTGCTCTGACTGCAAGCCTTGCAATTATTATTACCTCACCATTGCCAGGTACCCATTTAACACACCCCGGTAGAGAACAGCAAATGTAGGGAAAACACCTTGTCCAAGTATGTAAGCAGGGAGTGAAGATCAAACTCCAGTCGTTTATTAGAGTCAAGAGCTTTCACTAATATACTGTACATGCACTATAGTCACAGGCTTAGCCAGGATTTTTCAATAGGGGGGGGGGGGCAGACGTGAAGAATCAACTAATGGTTCATTTATGGTTAATTTTTTAAAAAACAGAGCCTCCCAGGTGGTCCAGAGTGACACACCTGGTGGTCCAGACTTTGAGAATCCCTGTTCTAGACTGTCAATCTCAGAAAGAGAGGAAGGGAGTATGTAACTACGTATGTAACTATGTATGTAACTACGTATGTAACTACGTACTATGTAACTCTGGAGGTACAATATGACTTACTTAAAGACATAGATGCCATACTGGAGTTTGAAATGATGACTTCTGGGAGGTGTTTCACAAAACTTTTCATCAGTGGCAAATGACAGTTTTTGTCTCGCCTGCGTAGCAAAAAGCAAGACATAGGCGCCACTTTTCCGGTGGCGACGGTGGCGACGGCGTCAACATTTGAAATTTTAGTATAATTTTAGTATAAGTTCTTATTCAATGAAACTTGGACCAAATGGTTATCAAGTATCCTCAATGATGTTTGTAGAATTTTAGGTAACAAATTCAAGGTCAAATGTAATTTAAGGTCTGCAAAGTGTGGTGTCAACCTCAAGATTTTGAATTTTTAGCATAATTTCAAAAGCGTTTGTTCAAATTCCATGAAACTTGTACACAAGGGTTATCAAGTATCACAAATCATATGACGCAAATTCCAGGTCACAAAGTCCAGGTCAAAGGTCATTCTAGGTCAGTAGACTTGGACTATGTTTTCGCAACCATGTAAGAATTAATAAATCAATTTTTATTATTTATTCATATTCCATTAAAGTTATCAATCTTGGTACAAATTATAGTAAAAAAAATTTCTGATGATTCTTAGCCAATACTCACTTCAAAATGCTATTATATTCAGAGGATTTTTTTTTTTTTTTTTTTTTTTGGGGGGGGGGGGACTGCTAATGGGCCACCCTACCTATAAATAAAGTCCCAACCTCCATTTTTCATCATATCGAATTGCGTAATGCAGGCGAGACCGCCGAGAGCGTTTCCCTTGTTGTTATAAGCTACTGAAATCCTTGCTTCTGATTGGTTATCAACTGATTTGTCACTGATTTTTGTCATTTGTCTTTGCAAAAAGGCTTTGTGAAACGGGTCCCTGGATAGTCAGTCAAGTAATTACCTTGTTCTCTCTTTAATCCTTGATCTCTTTCCAGTTAAGACCTGTCCATCTGTCCCACTTCCTGTTAATGGTGTTGTTGTACGGAGTGCATCCTCCTGCACTGCCAGTACTGTTGATATTGGTACTACATGTGTGCTGGGATGCGAGGAGGGTTTCCAACTGAGCACCGTCGTGGCTGTGACTAGGTGCATGCCAGATGGAACATGGTTGCAAAGGAATGGTGGGGAGTTGCAGTGTCTTGGTAAGTGATGGGGACCAACTCTCTAGGTACCTGTCTTAGTCGAATAATGATAATAATATTAGTGATAGTAATGATAATAATAATGATAATAGTAACAATAATGATGATAATGATAATAATTATGATCATAATAATAATAAAAATAATCATAATAATAACAAAAACGATAATGATAATGATTATGATCATAATGATGATAATGATAATTGTAATGATGATAATAATAGTAATAATGATAATAATGATTATCACAATGACAATAATAATAATGATCATTTCTTCTATACTAGTCTGTTTACTTAGTAGTACATGACCTACAAGACCAGTTTGAAATCTTATATCTTCCTGTCCGGTTGATATGACTGAACATAATTTTGGATAAATGAATCAATTTTTGCCTAGTACTGCATATCATGGCAGTGGCACAGCACATTGACTTCACATTAAGCTATTGTGTTTCATTCAGTTGATTGAGTACACATGGACATGAATGCACATAATGATGGCCAGTATAGTGAAGTTTACTATTGTTATTTTGTTCTGGTTCTCCATCACAACAATGCCTGATCTATCCTACTTTAGAGAGGAGCTTTTGTCAATTGGAGCTTCTTGTATAATCCAGTAACATTAGATGTATACCACTCACTACGCATATGAAGTGTACAGCCGAGTAGACGTGGAAGTCGATCCTTTCACAAGGACCAGCATCCTATTCCAGTCATTACACGACCAAGGACACATCTGAAATTACTCCAGAGGGATCATGAGAAGAAACAAGATAAGAGAGATCTTGTAACTATTAGCAGTCATTCATTATCAAACAGAGATTTGACTGAGTCACGTAATTAGCAACCACAGCAAAATCTCCCATCCATCATGTGGCTTAATGCAAGGTCACTTTCTAACATTGTTCATCTGATTGCAGTGACAGAGACATGGTTTTTAGAAGAAAGAGCTGCTTCTGCATGTACTCTTCAAGGATATGAACAATTCCATCATGATCGAGAAAGCACTGGTGGAGGCGTGGCTCTTATGTACGAGAGGACATGAATGCTACTCGAGTCTTTGAAGTTGTGTGGTTCAGGTTAAGGTCATGCATTTGTGAACCTGCAACTGGACAATGATATTTTTGCTTGTGTTGTTTACTACCCGCCGAGATCTCCTTACCAAGAAGAACTCTCTACCCACATCATCAATATAGTTGATACAATTCGCATGACGTCTGGCAGTGCCTCGTTCCTAATAATGGGAGATTTTAATGACCTGTAGTCTCAACCCATTAAACTACACACTTTACTTGCCAGATTGTTACTCAACCAACCAGAAGAACTGCAGTCCTGGATAAGAACTTTATACTGATGTAGGGATTTATTTTGAACTTCTGAAACGTACTCCCCTTCATATCAATGATTCATCCCTTTCGTATTAATAGGTCATCCCTCATTCACATTCACCCTTTTCATTCACGATCCTTTCATCTGTCTATCTCTCTCTATCATTGGTTTCAATGTTCACCTGACGCAGTCAAGCTTATAGTATAATTTACATATACTATGAGTATTCAAAATATACCCTTTGTTTATGTTTGAATATTCAAGAATACTTTGTGATGTTGATTTATACTTGTATGGGACTATATGAATATTTATTGGTTTCTTCTACTTTGCATGGAATGTATGTGGAATGCTACATAGAATGCTGTAATGCTTTTACACATTAAAACCTGGTCAGTTAACCAGTAGTTATCAATCCTACAACATGTCTGCTGGGCTGCCTCTGTGTTAAGAGTGCTAGGAATTATCTGTTAGAACTGCAACCCTACATTGGTGGCAGTGGTGGTTTTCTAGCCTCTTCTACCCCAGAGCTTCAGGCAGCGTCACCCAGCGGCGGCTGATAGCCAAGGTTTTGGTTATCTTTTCACCCTGATTCGATTGATACATACACGCCCTGCTTCGTGAATTATTTGCTTCCTACTTCAGGTAATTTAGTTCACCCTTTTCGAAAGATGCAGTTTCTACTGTGCTCCTGCCAATGTTATTTTTCATCCTGCTTCAGTAGAATTCTTCCTTCTTTGCGAATTCTTCTACATGCATAATATGAAGTTAGTGGAATTTCTGAGTGAATCAGTGTATTTAGATCCATGTTTTTCAGTGTGAAACCTGTATGGACTTGACACATTTCATAGTGGATTAGATGTGTTCTTGCAATTTCAAGTTTACCAATGCTTGCAATACAAGGCTGACTTTCAGGTATTGGTGAGTCACTTAGATTTAATCCCGGTTCACAAACTCACTCTCCCTCATTTTGCAAGAGCTATCCCTCCTTCAGTAGTCGAGTGTAATTTATCATTTACTGCAACCCATTTCACACCCTTCTTCAATATCATCATGAGTTCATTTTGACTAGATCTCCCTGAGGTCTTTACTGGTAAAGACGGAAAGAATTCTGGACAGTGGGTACGCAGACTAGAAGTAGCAGCTGAAGTTCTTCCCCAGACATAACGCAAACTTCATCTCGTCCTTCCATCCAGACTAGCGGGTGCAGCATTCAGTTTGGGAAAGCATTCCGAGCACAGTACAACAAGAGTACAGTGTGGTTAAAAAGAAAATTTCAGCTGTTTTGGGGAACACCAATTATTTGACCACGTTCAAATCATGTATAGATGCTCGGAAGCGGCAATGGAATGAGGTTTTATAAGTTTTTGCAGCAGCAATTACGACACTAGTGAAAGAAGCCTTCCCTAATTATGACACTGCAGGAAAAGATGGAGAGAAATTTCACAGATTTCTCGCCGGTATCGAAAAACCCCTGCAAATAAAAATTCACGAGATGGGTGCCACGTCTTTAAACGAAGCGCTGGATATTGCTGTGAGAGTTGAGAGAGCAAACCGGATGGGACAACCATCAGTAGCAACAGACTTTACTATAGCTTCAACTTTCCGAAGAGAAATGATGACAGCTCAGCGACACTTGAAAAGGTCTTAAAGCGTATGGATGAGCTGGAACTCAAGCTGGAGAGACACCACTCTACACCAAGACATCAATACTCTGATGATCGTCGTCGCCAACCATCAAGATCACCCAGCCCATATGACTACTAATCTAGATCGAAGCGCCAATATTCTGATGATCATTAGCGCCAACCTTCTCGATCGCTTAGCCCATACCAACCACACTAACGACGCTTTAGGTCGCCCAGCCCCCTACGTCACCACCGCACTCAGAGCCCTACACATCATCGCACACTTCGCGGGTCAACCCCACCCAGGCATAATGCATATGATGATGGTAGATCTGCTAGCCCACCACAGTCAAGATACTCAAACCAAGCTACCTGGCAGTCTTCACGTTCTGACAACCGCCACCCATCTGGTGCAAGAGATACCCTCTATCATCAGTTGAACAGTGAACAACACCGAAAAGTTCGATGACCAGGGAAACTATTGGTAGTTGGTGAGGAGGGTCACTCACTCATCAACTTCACCACTCTTGACCAAACAGACCCAAACTGAAAACAAATCTCATCCTCCATTTACTTCGGCCGTTAATGATCATTCATCTCCTTCACCTCCAGCAATTGTTGACAACTCATATAATTTTGGCTTTTATTGACAGTGTTTCATTTATATCACTGATGAGTGCAGATTTCTACTACTCAATCCCAGAAAGCCAGCGAAGTATATTACAGAAGTGGACAACTCTGGCATCTACGATAACCAGAGGAGGCATTGACATCATTGGCACAACCTCTCCCACCATCCATCTTGGTAACAAAACAACCAGACATATGTTCAATGTTGCAAGGAACATAACTCATCCTTTCGTCCTTGGTTGGGATTTCATGTTCAAACATGATGCCACTCTATCTACTTCAATATTCACTATGCTTGGTGTGAGTATTCCACTGGTCGACCGTCGTCAATATCAAGTACCACTTAAGTGCAATGTTTTGCTGATAGGAAAGGCAACTCTTCCTGAAATGAGTGAGGTACATGTCCAAGGCCGACTTATACCCCCTCAGCCTGATGTGATTCCACAAGACTACGATGGAATCTTTGAGCCCGCCATCCATGAACATCTCCATGTAGCAGGTGCAAGGTCTCTATCTCGATCGCAAGATGGTATCATCTTACTCAGGCTGATAAACCCTTCATTTCAGACAGTACAATTATCTGCAGACACCACCTTTGGGCAATTCTATTCTACTACTGGAGACAGTGAAGAAGAATATGAAATCCTCGACAGTATTGTAGCTGGCACACAGAAAAGTTCATCTTTTCAAGCTTCGTCAATGCTCCCTACTTCAAGTCTGTCCAAGACCGAGTATGAGTGTGCTGAAAGTCTACTCAATTCATACTCTGATGTTTTCAGCAGCACATCCAAGGATATTGGATGGACTAACCTCGCCTACCATGACATCACTACATCAACAGAGACACCAACTCGTAAAAGGGCATACAGGACTTCACCGACTTCACCCATCGTTATGGTGCGAAAGAAGGACAAGACCTACAGGTTTTGTGTTGACTACAGAGCTTTAAATGCAGTTACTGTACAAGATTTGTATCTGATTCCACGACAGGATCATGGCTGCCAACCTTTGGAAAGAGTTTGGAGTGAGACATTGCGAGGGAGCGAAGCGACCAAGCCCGAGAAGCGCCCGAGGGGGGGGGGGGGACGGTAGGGAGCTTTTACAATTTTGCAATTGAAATGGTGCAATCTGGTGCATACTTTAACCCTGATTCCACAAATACATAAGGCAGGATTCAAATAGGTTAATTGATTTCATGAAGTACACTGACCTTGAAAAAATACACAGTCGTAGAGGGCTAGAGCGTGAGAGCATGAGAATTTGGTGAATTGCGTGAGACTGACGCAGATTGCGTGAGAGTTGGCAGCCCTGCAGGATGACTCTATCGATGCTTTGTCCTCCTCGTCCTACTTCAGTGTAATTCAGGCTATTGGCAGATCCCTTTGGATCGAAAGACAAGGAGAAGACCGCATTTACCACTGGAACTGGCCTCTATCAGTTTAAGGTAATGCCATTTGGTTTAGTCAACGCGCCAATGACGTTCCAGCGAGTAATGGAAGCCGTCCTCCACGGTCTCCATTGGTCAACATGTCTTATCTACTTAGATGATTGCATTATACTCGGCAAGACATTTCAAGATCACCTACACAATCTCCGGGAAGTCTTACAAAGATTCCGAGAAGCCAATCTCAAACTGAAACCTTCGAAATGCCAATTCTTTCGAAAGGAAGTAACATATCTAGGATATGTGATCAGTACTACTAGAGTTCGCCCCGATCCAGTCAACACCAAGAAAGTCTCATCCTGGCCTCAACCTAAGACTCCAACCCAAGTAAGAGCATTTCTAGGACTTGCCTTCTACTATCGTCGGTTTATGCCAAGTTTTGCTCAAGTAGCATCTCCACTCACTGACTTGACTCATAAAGGCAAGAAATTCATCTGGACTGATGATTGTGAGGAAGCCTTCAACCAACTGAAGTCGTCTCTCACAAGCCCACCAATCCTTGCATACCCAGACTTCATCAACAAGTTTAGCTTTAATAGCCACTGACGCTTCACAAGATGCTATTGGAGCTGTACTCTCTCAGTTGCAAGATGGCAAAGACCGAGTAGTTGCTTTCTACAGTCGGAAGCTTACAGAGTCCCAGCGTAGATGGTCTACCTACGATAGGGAACTGTGGGCAGTTATCTCATCCGCCATTTCAGACATTATCTTAGGGGCCAAGAATTTAACATTCTCACTGACCATCATCCTCTGTTGGGCTACAATAGTGTACCTATCCAAGACGATGCGACAGGACAGAGAGCAAGATGGATTGTTGAGTTGAATGCATATTCTTTCACCATAACTCACAAGAAGAGCACTTCACATCAAAACGCTGATGCAATGTCGCGTATGCTGGAAGATGTTACACATCTTGTTGGTATGGTGAACACACGCTCCTCTACAACTCAACCAGACCAAGAATTAACCATTCCAAAGTCATCCAACTCAATGGTCGATAAAGCTCCCGAGAACTTTATCCTCACTGACCATCATGCTGATTTACAGTATCATCAGCAACACAACAAAGACATTCAGAGAATAATCAAGTACATCAAGGAAGTACATCATCCAACAGTGAGAGAAGTTCGACGGCAAACCCTCGTCTACGACATCTCCTATGGCAACTCACTCGTCTTGTACTTGAGAATGATCTCTTATACCGACGACGACAAGACAACTCAGGTTCGTCCTCTCTTCAGGTAGTTGTGCCAGAATCTCTTATCCCTCAAGTCCTGCAAGAGATACATGGTAATCCATCCTCTGGACACTTCGGAGTTCAACGCACACTACACAGGGCTGAATCTATGTGCTTTTGGCCATTCATGCCTGTGAGTCGATTAGATCTCCAAGTCCTAATCACCAAGCTCCACTCCAGAACATAAAGACCGATCACCCTCTTCAAATGGTTTTCGCTGATATAGCTGAGCTTCCTACTTCAAGAAGCGGTACCACTATATTTTGGTTGTTGTTGATCACTTTAGTAAATACACTAATATTTACCCCATGCAAGACCAGACCGCCCAGACTGTGGCTGGACACCTATTCGAAGAATACATCAAAGAGCTTGGAGTTCCTGAGTCACTACATACAGACCAAGGAAGACAATTTGAATCCAGACTAGTCCAGGATCTCTGCAAGAGGCTCGGCATTCGCAAATCTCGATCATCATGACTTGTATATGAAAAGCCAAATTGGATGCTCAATCATTATTGATTATTATTAATTAAGTTGAACTGTGCAGATGTAGATTAACATTTTTTTATTATAAAAACCATTTTTGATACAAAGTATATTTTTTGCCATAATTTCATCGAGGTTATTGGAAATATCAGAAAAAACTTTGGGCATCCTATCTGGCACTTCATATACAAGTTGTTCGTAAAGTCATGCGTAACTTTACGAACTCTTTATGAAACATCCCCAAGGTCAGTTAGCCAGTAGTTATCAATCCTACAACATGTCTGTTGGGCTGCCTCTGTGTTAAGAGTGCTAGGAATTATCTGTTAGAACCGCAACCCTACACTGACATAATAATAATAATCCGTTTTTTTATATAGTGCTCAATACACCGTTTCAACAATGTGCCTAAGTGCTTTACAGATATATTATTACCCCAGTCATCGGATTCAGGCTCACCCGCACACAATGTGTGCACATTTTCCACTCCCTGGGGAGCATTCCAGCCAGTCGCCATTTTACAAGCGCACACTTGCTTGTCCAACCACATGAACGTGGGAGGTGATTATCACAACTCTATGATTACTACACCAATGGGGAAGAGTGACCCCATGGTTGTTTCTCTAAAACCAAAGAGTGGTCAGATCCCTCAACAGAGATCACAGTACTTCAGTCGACCTTTTCGAGACTCCTCTTTGCGATCTTTTGGGCAGTGGATAACGCAGGTGGACTGGTCTGAGCTGGACGAGTTGACTGATATGAAAGTTGCCCGGTTCCAACAAATTCTTACAGCTCAGTATAGATTACACTTTGAACAAATCTCCATTGTCCTTTGGCCAAATGATAAAGAATGGTTGAACAACTACATGTATATCAGACGACTGATAAGAACTTGTGATGCACACTATCATCAAGGGGGTGTTTGTGCCTACAATCAAGCTCAACATTTTGTGTAGCTAGAGATCCAAGAAGAATTTCTATGCCCGCAAAATTCAACAGTTGAAACAGAGTGAACCTGGTAAATAGCAGAGAAGGAATCTAACTGGAATGTCCAAACCACTACTTCTGCTGCAGGTTACAGATCAACTTCCAGCAGAAATCGCTCATTAATTATACTGTCATGTTGCTAGGATCCTGTAATGAACTTCTCTCAACTTGGCTGCCTCATTGGCCTACCTTTTCAGGCCTCGTCCTCCAACCATAGATAGGGAGGAATTCTAAAACCGGCTCAGAAGGTTGAATGCATCAAAGGCTGGACACCCCACTGATGACCCCATCTGACTCTTAAAGCAGTTTGCGTATGAACTGTCATTACCCCTGACCATCATCTTCAATAATTATCTTAACAATTAATGGTCACTTTCCAAGCTCCTGGAAAACTTGTCCATGAATCAGAGTCAAGTCATCTACAGTCTCCTGTGAATGCTCTATCTGCATGGAGTGAGTTGAATTCAATGAAACCAAATCTGAAAAATGTAAGGTGATGCATGTAAGTTTCCAGCGTAATGGTCCACCTTCACCAGTGATTACTATTGGAAATCAAGTTTTGGAGTCTGCATGTAACGTCGCTTCTGCGTGCTATAACTCAAACCTTAAACTACAGTCCAATGACGTATCTGCTCTGTGTACAGTGTGTTTTATCCAGCATGTTAAAAATGCTGAAGGAGAACCTATATTGCTCTTAAGGTCTATCCGAGGGACTTAGCAGCAGCATTAAAACATAGAATAGACACCTGGTAATTCATCCCCTTCTCAAGAAATGTCCTTGTTTACTGCATATATATATATATGCTCATACATGTACAAAATGAAATAACTATAACTCCTCAAAACCCATTGTCAATTGATGCCCTTGTTTATAAAGATGTTGCTCCACCTACGTTTGCTGCTCGTTGTCCTCGGAATGTGTCTGTGACAACCCAGCCATGTACCATCAAAGCAAATGTGACCTACGATGTCCCAGAAGTTACGGATAATGCAAGTGCAGTTACGATGGTAGATCCCAATGTCAATGAAACCTTGCCTATTCTGCTCTCAAGAGGGCGTCATCAGAGAATGCACACTGCACGGGACAGAGCTGGAAATGTGGCAGCATGCCTCATCAACATCAACGTTGTAGGTGAGTGCTCCAATATTTGCTCCTCAAAAGTATAGGGTTAGGTTTGAGTTGCAACTCTGTTATAGGTAAGCTTAGAATTAGGGTTAGGGTCTAGATCATGGTGCGCGTGACTTGTGGTGCTTGCAGTCAGTCGGAGTGACGCCTGACTGTTGCAAAAATATATATTAAAGCAGCAAAATCAAGAAGTCGCAGTCGAAGTTGAGCCCAAAACGTCTGCTTAACAAACAGGAAGAAAGGGGAATTTAACCGTTATACCATTATATATGATTCTAAACCTGAGCTCTAAACAATAAGCTTACGATGAGCTACCAATTTTAAATTGCCGATCTCTGGAAACATCTTGTTTTTGTTTGTTTGATTTTCACTTCGACATTTGGACATTTAATTCCCATGTTTATTGCACCAAAATAACTACATATAAATTTAACTCAAGTGTAATTGTACTCAGGAATTTTACTAATTTTTTCAAATTATGATTGATATATTTTGGAATAAAATCCACCAGCTTCAGGGGGCTCTGCTCTGCCCCCTGGACCCCACCCGCTTTCGTCTTGGTCGCCACGCTCCCTCGCAGCACAGTCAAACATACAGGTTGGCACTTCAACTACAAATTGCAATAAGAAATACAATGAAAATGCTGTTATTGCCTTTTTCTCAACTTTTAATTCTTCCGTTTGAGTTGGCTTATTTCCAACTTGACATATTATCAACATAGATAAGAAATCATATAGAAACATTTCTATAATTCCGTTCGAGTTTTAGCGGTAGCATATTTCCAACTTGACATACTATTAACATAGATATAAAATCATACAAAAACCATTTACACATTTCCGTTCGAGTTTTTGCGGTAGCATATTTCCAACTTGACATATTATTACATAACATAGATATGAAATCATATAAAACCATTTCCATAATTATTTGTTTGCAATGGCGGAAGGCGACAGACTGCGATTCCACAAATATGGGAACCCGAGGGTCACGGGTCACGTGACCAGCTGGGAAGACGGTGCTCTACCCAGCAGGCCCAGTTTCCTGGGCCATTGGTTCCCTACACAAGATCTGGTAATCGCAGCCTGTCCCCACCGTCGGTTCATGGCGCTCTTGGCCATTCCTCTCCTTGAGGCATACTGGAAATGATTATAGTTCAGGAACGAAACAAAAGAACAAAACCCTCTCATTTCGGAATACTAAGACTTCCGGAACAGAAGCTCCAGCCAATAAGCCAAAACCGGCCGACCCTGTCAATAATGTAGTCCAACCAACCATCACAATAATCAAGCCCAACAAACCATCCATGTCAATAAACGAGCCCAACCAACCATCCATGTCAATAAGCAAGCCCAACCAACCATCCATGTCAATAAGCAAGCCCAACCAACCATCCATGTCAATAACAAGCCCAACCAACCAACCATGTCAACAATCAAGCCCAACCAACCATCCATGTCAATAAGCAAGCCCAACCAACCATCCATGTCAATAAGCAAGCCCAACCAACCATCCATGTCAATAAGCAAGCCCAACCAACCATCCAAGTCAATAACAAGCCCAACCAACCATCCATGTCAATAATCAAGCCCAACCAACCAACCATGTCAATACAACAAGCCCAATTTCTTTCTTTCTTTCTTTTTTTTTTTTTTTTTTTTTTTTTTTTCTTTCCACAATCTGCATTGATTTCCATGAATGTTGTAGCCTTAAAAGAACAAAATCACACAGTGATTAACAGATTGTGTACCATTAAAAGAACAATAATGAAACATAATCAATTTGACAATCCCCCCCAAAAAAAGAAAAACAAAACAACAAAAAGCAACCTAGCAAATCTGATGTAGAAACCGAAGGAAAAAAAAAAAAAAAAAAAAAAAAAAAAAAACAACAAACAAACATGATGTCAATATCATAAAACAAGCCCAATTAACCATCAACCTTGTCCACTACTACAGCCCCATCGTGTCACTTATTCAAGCCCAAACTCTAAGGCAATGACATACGCAGAACTACCAGTCCGGGCAAGTACCACTCCGGTCTCCCTATATACACTTTCTCAATAAAGGACCGCCCCCTCCCCCTGACAACCTCCTACCCAATAATCATGAGCCTAATCCTGCCCGTCCACAAGTCAGCAAGGAATTGAGGGGAGGGAGGGAGGGAAAAACACGACCAACTCAAACGAAGTATTAGCTGAGAATGACCCATTGATTAGTAAAAATACACGTCGTGGGAAACACTTGCCTTGCGACCCCGATATGTATTACAAAAGCGCGCCTATCATTGATATTTACCAAACACGCGTGGTAAAGATTCGGCTTTGTGACCTCAATGTAGGTTACAAAGAGATGCGCCTATGTTTGATATTTGCCGACCTGCTGGGAAACATTCGGTTATTGACCTCAAAATCATTTTACAAAAGAGGCGCGCTATCGTGTGTAGTCACCGGCTTGCCGCATATTTCCGGCCTACACTATTGCATTCTATTACAATTGGGTTTATTTTGATAACATCAAAATAAACGTATTGCAATAAGAAATACAATGAAAATGCTGTTATTGCCTTTTTCTCAACTTTTAATTCTTCCGTTTGAGTTGGCTTATTTCCAACTTGACATATTATCAACATAGATAAGAAATCATATAGAAACATTTCTATAATTCCGTTCGAGTTTTAGCGGTAGCATATTTCCAACTTGACATACTATTAACATAGATATAAAATCATACAAAAACCATTTACACATTTCCGTTCGAGTTTTTGCGGTAGCATATTTCCAACTTGACATATTATTACATAACATAGATATGAAATCATATAAAACCATTTCCATAATTATTTGTTTGCAATGGCGGAAGGCGACAGACTGCGATTCCACAAATATGGGAACCCGAGGGTCACGGGTCACGTGACCAGCTGGGAAGACGGTGCTCTACCCAGCAGGCCCAGTTTCCTGGGCCATTGGTTCCCTACACAAGATCTGGTAATCGCAGCCTGTCCCCACCGTCGGTTCATGGCGCTCTTGGCCATTCCTCTCCTTGAGGCATACTGGAAATGATTATAGTTCAGGAACGAAACAAAAGAACAAACTCCAAATCCCAACAACCCAATTTTTTTTTTTTTTTGCCTAGCGAAATAGAACCTGGGCATGTGGCAAAATTTATGCACGGCTAACAAAAATAACAAACAATCAACTTTGCGTTATTTTTGTGGCTCTATTAACATTTTGAGATGGACGCTTATTTTGCACATTTTGATTTTCTGGGTGTCATAACAAAATAACACAGATATATTGAATCATAAAAAATGCTTACAAATGCTAGGCCCCCCGTCTATGAAATCGAGTGATGCCAAGGCTAAACTTATATACATTAAGTCATTATATCAGCCCCCCGCCTATAAAATCGAGTGATGCCTAAAGTTATAGAAAATAGATGTATATATATACCAGCCTCTCCGCCTGTAAGATCGGATGATGCCTAAGATTAAAGCGTGACACCCTGAGTTTGAAAATGTGTAGGTACAACTAGGTCCCCCCGCATTCAAATCGAATGGGGGCCGGAAAACTAAGAATTGACATGCGAACAAATTCGACTGAATATACATTGGCAACCCCCTCGCATGTAAAAATTGAGTGGGGTCGAAAATTATTGGATGACAATTATTGATCAATAAACTTATCAGTACCATGTGATTAGTGATTTACCCATACAAAACCGGGTAGGGGCGAAACCCAATGGGAAAATTCCCCTACGGCCCACTGTCTTTGTGCACGACGCTTGATGTGCGACCAGGCCAAATGCCCCCGGCTCTGCATTAACTTCATAAATCACTGACCAATTTATTACATAAACCCTATCCGTACCTTTCATACCTGAAACCCTAAATCCTTTCCGTACTAATACGTATACCTTGGCTACTTCGAACCACCAAGCAATATTTAATTTATGCCACTAATATACTAAAAATACTTTTATTGGTGGAGATAATGGGGAGGTGGTGGGAATGTTTCAGACTCCGTACATTTTTCTTCTTGTCCATTCAAATGAAAGCCATAACTAGAATGAAAGCCCCTTCGTGCTATTTGTAATTTGCTGGCGGTATTTTCCGCGCTTGCTTGATAAGCGTACATACGCTTGTACATTTCCTTCCAATGTAATACAAAGTATTACATTTCCTAGCGCGTGAATTTCCCTCAAAAATGTAAACAACCTCTTGACCTACATTTTGTCAGCCTGTCAATAAACCATTTTAAATCGTAATCTACTCTTTAAATTTCAATATACTCCTGATTGCCCGCAATAAAACAAAGGGCATGCACAAAATAAAGTTTCAAAGATTAAGAGCAAATCGAACCGCTGACGCAAAGTTCTCCATGAGAAGATCACATCCCTCATCAGACAGATGCACGCCATCTCTGTGAAAATACCAGTGTTCTTGGACATTGAAATTGTGGCCTATGAATGATCCACTACACATACGCCGGACCCTCCGTCTGGCATACTTGTTGACACCTTTCCGCACATCATTGATGACGACCTGCGACGTGACGTGTACATCATGACCATAGTAATACAGGCGAGTAAGATGCTTGAAAATGAAATGTAGCATTGCGGCAACAATGACCGCGCTGTATTCAGTGCTTCATCCACCGCTTGTCGACAGTCCTTTGCAAAATAACGCCCCAAGTCGTTCGAGCCCGCATGGATGATTAGCTCCGATGGAGAAGGACCGAACCTCACTTGGCCCTGTAATTGACGCGGGAAATCGCGTATAGCGACGCCCCTCCTCGCCCGTGCCATGCCACCTCACAACCAGCGATTCCCAGGTCTCGACAGCCTCTGGTAAACGCCCGCTCACCAGCTCGCCTCACGAGAATGTCTCCGCACACCCAAACCCGGTGAGCCTGGGCACCTATTTGGAGAAAGATAAAAACCAAATTCCTTCCGAGTATGGCGTACCTTTTATGGGCTTATAGAACCAAAGGTTTCTAACATAATTACATAAGCGAAGCAAATTCAATTCTATATAGCATATTATCGCAATGACGACCTTCGTCATTGCCTTGTTTTCGCTCACCTTCTGCCCCATTAATATTCTCCTTTCCCTTATCCTTATCGTCAGGAAATCGCATTCGTTTTGCACGTAGTGTTTGTGATCCCTAGTTAGGTGCTTTCCTCATTCTTTTTCCTTTCAAATTTCATAGGCATAGTCTCTAACATCTCATCAAGGTCACTACTTTCTTCGATTTTGGAAATCACCCATGCATGACCGTCCAGGCGCCATTTTGTCCGTTTCTGGTCCATTTTAAGGCCGTTATATCTTCCTTCCCATCCCCACTATCCTAGATCCTACAAACTTTTAACAAATTCCTCTAGATAGTCTGAGAGATGTCCTTTCATCTGCGACGGATGACTTGACCTTCACAATGCCATCTTCATACTCGAATTTCAAATCTAAAACCGACTCCTCCAATAAATCTCAAGTTCTTGAAAAATGGACCCCTAAACAATCTAAAACTGCCATAACTTTCTCATATAAATTCCGTTTTGTTTTTAAATCTCACAGTATCTTTATCTCATAATTGCACATAGCCGTGCCAAATTTCACGCTCCAATGGCTTTGCACAACATAAATAGCGCCCTCTAAAGTTTTAGGAATTGGCTTTCTCTCTGTGGCCGTATCTTCATAATGGCTTGGCAAACCCGTACCCTTTTTTGGATTTAGATACTTGAAGATATGTCCTTTCCAGCCATATACAAAATTATATACCCTAACACTGACCAAATTTGAGAAAAATTGCCTTCCAAATTCGCCATTTTCGAGAAAATTCCGAAATAACTTCAACTTACTCTAAAATAACGATCTTTATACCTACATCAATGAAACTTGGCAGACACATGTATCCATATACGTGACAACTGTCTGCCAAGTTTGGTAAAATTCGAATACGTCAGCGCAAAGTTATCGCCAAAAATGATGAATTTACTATGCGTTACGTAATAGCGCCTTTAATGCGTGCAGTACACTGCGCGCAGATGACAACGGTGTCAAACTGACCGCAATGAAGTGCCCTTTCGAATGATACCAAGTATGGTATATGTTCACACAGAAAATTTTGAGTAAATCACATTTGAACAAGGGTCATTATACGAATTCCGCCGAGTTTCCGCCCAATAATATAACACGTATCGGCTATGGCGTCATTTTTTCAGACTGCTTTTCAACCCCTAAACGTCTCTTTTTTTCCTTGAAATTTTGCAGTGACATTCCGAGTTGCAATACGCAGGGCACCTCTTGGCCGGATTTTTAAAATTGGTCAAGGGGGTCATTGAAGACGCAATTTTGTCCTATAAATCTATTTTACATCACGTGTTTCGATAGGATTACCATAGAACAAAAAAAAATTGTTTACAATAACAACCACGAAATTCTCTTTCCCATGATACCAAATACGTCAGATAAAGTGACATAAAGAGAGAGAAAAAACAAACAATTAAAGTCCGGTCATAATACAGATCCTGTACGTTTTCCGCCCATGCATTACACGCATTGTCTATGGGGCAAATCGGGTTCACGCTTCTGGACCCCAGAACGATCTTTATTTTTCTTGAAATTTTACAGGCACATTCTAAGTGGCCAAGTGCAGAGCATCAAGAAGCCGGACTTTTTTTTAAAAAATCGGTCAAGCATGACATTAAATGCTACTTCATACTCTGCGTAACTAGTCCGAGAGATGCTCTTTCGTTTGACATGTAAAAACAAGGCGTCATTGCACGCACATCGTTCTGACACGATTGCATTTCTAGTATCGTACCGAACTTGTTTAACATACTAAATATTGTACAACATCACTTGTCGAAACACGACTAACCCCAAATAAGTGCGTGGTTATACGAAAATGAATAACATCCCACTGAGCTGGTTAAAATTATTGAAAACAAAGTAAGCAATCGTACTAACTCTCCATAATTATATCCACACCTTATATGTAGGCCCCTATCTCCTTTGCCTACAATCAACCCGACCTTGTCCAACCTATTAACGGACATAAAGTTTATATGTCTCACTGCGCCATCTCCCCCATCTCCTTAGGGAATGATATGTTTGCGGAATTAGAAGATGAGACTAGCCTGTGGCTAGGTAACTCACCGGGTGGAGGATGGACAATAGACGGTTGATTCGCCGTTTCTAGGGATTCTGTGATGTTGGCCCCCCCGTCGGAGTCTGGTCTCCTTGGCGCTCCCGCCCTGCCGAAGCGGCTGGGTTACTCCTCGAGCCGCGTCTCGTCACTCGAGAATGTGGAGCTGGCGTTGTCCCCCTGATCGGGTCACTGTTTTGAAGCGCTGGCTCTCTCCGCTTTCCTTTGCCCTTTCGTCCCGTAGACGCCTTAGACTTCCCCATCTTGTCGTCCACACAATACAGACGAGCTAGTTAGACGACTATGCCGCAATCCGAGCTCCGATGTAACTTCCTCCAATATTTAATTCCAGCTATCCAATACAATTACTCCTCTGTTCAATTCCAAATATCTAGTGTAACATTTTCTCTTTTTAGATCCAATTATCCAGTGTAACTCTTCCTCTGTTTAATTCCAGATATCCAGTGTAACTTTTCCACCGTTTAATCCTTATATCCCGTGTAGCTGTCTCTCTGTTCAATTCCGAATATCCAGCGTATTGGTGTGAAACCCAGTGATAATAGAAACTAACCGGTGCAGTCAGTTCAACAGCGACAACCTGTGTACAATTAGCATGTATAATTCTGAGTCCAATAAAACACGACCAACTCAAACGAAGTATTAGCTGAGAATGACCCATTGATTAGTAAAAATACACGTCGTGGGAAACACTTGCCTTGCGACCCCGATATGTATTACAAAAGCGCGCCTATCATTGATATTTACAAAACACGCGTGGTAAAGATTCGGCTTTGTGACCTCAATGTAGGTTACAAAGAGATGCGCCTATGTTTGATATTTGCCGACCTGCTGGGAAACATTCGGTTATTGACCTCAAAATCATTTTACAAAAGAGGCGCGCTATCGTGTGTAGTCACCGGCTTGCCGCATATTTCCGGCCTACACTATTGCATTCTATTACAATTGGGTTTATTTTGATAACATCAAAATAAACGTATTCTTTTAGTTTTGGCACTTCTAATAAACTAGTTGAGAAGGCCTGGTCTAGATGTATATTTTTGGGTCCAGGGTTGAAGTTAGGAATTTGGTTAGTGTAGGAAACCATAGCAGAGGAATTGTCACAGCTATAGGAGCAGGTGTTGTACAATGGAGTAATAATAGGGACTTTTAGATTGAGTGGACGAGAACACGACGAGCGCAGACTGATCATGCGTGTCAACGTACTCAACTGCCCATGTTGACTACAATTAGAAATCTTAGATTGCACTCGACGATAAACATGCATGCAGGAAGTAACACTATGAACATGATGGACAAAAGAACATCCCTTCACTGCTATTATGTAAAAATGTGTATAACAGGTGAATATGCATGTGACACCTGTTCGACACATTTTTACATAATAGCAGGGAAGGGATCGATGTTTCTTTGTCTACCTGAGGAAATGTATATTTTATGCGCACGCGGCATACTAGTACCGTACTTAATTTAGGAAAATCAAGGTTGACGCATTCTCGATCGCGGACTGAGACGACGTGACGCATGCGCAGTGCCTTAAAATGACGTCACACGTTGCAGTCAAAGCTGTCGACGTGCAAATCTAAAAGTGCCTACTAATAATAATATTTGGTTCTTGTATAGCGATATCACATTATATAACGTCTCTACGCCCTTCCAAAGAGCTTTGGAAATTATTACCCTAGCGTTAGCTCCGGCAGCCGTTATCAGTGCACAGTGCATTTCAAGGAATGATCCTACCAGGTACCCATTTACCTCACCTGGGTTGAGTGTGGCAAATGTAGATCAATATTTTGCCAGAGAAAGAAGGAAATTGTCAAATTGAAGATATAATAGAATTTATATTGGCATTAAAAAAAGAAAGACATATCTTTGACAGACCCATCTTCCCACACCATTACACTACTGGTGCTACATATATATGTTGCACTGAGATGAATTATTTCATTAAAAACATTTATCTTTAGCACTCATTCAAAGGGGACCCCATGACCAGTATAATAATGACCATGAAGTGTTCTATATTAACCGCTGTATGGATTGTACAAATAGATTTAAAAAGATGATGATGAATATGCTGTTCTTTGCTAGAACACTTGATTCTATGATAACTAATTCTTGGCTGACATTGTTCATCTTCAGCACCCATGTGCCGGGATGAGCCGGAATGGCGGACTGGATCTTTGAGAGTGGAGTCTATGTCCTGCCGTAACTTGCACGGGTCTACGGTACGCTTTACCTGCGCTGATCCGGGAATGCATCTTGTTGGAGAACGAGAGCGCACATGTCAGGAAGACGGGCAGTGGAGTGGTTCATCACCAACATGTGAATGTAAGGCTCTTTCTTCTTTGATCTATTCATAGAGTACTTTTTCCAATAGCTAATTCAATAGATGTCTTTCAGTCACACATTTTATTATTATTATCATTAGTAAGTATTTGATTGGCATCACCTGCCTGTGATGGAAAAAACAAACTGAATCACTATGACCCTCAGGTCTCTCCTGCTGATGTAAATGATTGGGTTCTTGCAGGTGGGCCACTTCACCAGAGTCTCCTCCTACTCTCAAATATATGTACATAGGAGTTTTTAATAAATTTTTTATTTTTACCAAAATACATCTGCTTTAATTCTTGCTACAGTTTTTATTTGTAGTGCTGCTTTGCTTATTGTTTTATCCAAACAAAAGTGAAGTCCTCTGATTCAATATGCATTTGTAAATTTTGGTAATGGAGTGTACCGTAGCTAGTATATACCATACTTTAAAGTGAGGAATATTGTGACCTTCTCAATCAATCACTTCAATATAAAGTTAAGTTTTTATTAAGTTTATTTGCGATTGATATCAATCTCAGCTTTGAGTATAAGAGATAGGAGACTGCAAACTTGCAATTGATTAGAGGACTTTCCATTCATTTGGATCAATCGCAACTCTTTACAAGACAGGACCCTGGTCAGGCAATAAAATTGTGTAACAAAATATCTGGATGACATGCATGATTTGGCGAAGGTTGATTATGTCGTACATAGAAATGGGTGCATGTATACTGTGATGTTTTGGAATCATCATATTGATAATGAATTGATGTCAAGAACATGCATTGCACACAGAAATGGTAATATAAAGGATTACTCATAAAAGTGGCTCGACTATTTTTTCCAATATTTCAGTTTTTTGTCATATTTATAAACGAGTGAAATTTATAAGGCAATCCATTTTAGGGGACTTTTCTCTGGCTTGGTCGAATGACCTTCTTCTAGATTGACATAACTTGAGACATCTTACAATTTTATTTTTAACCTTTACCTGCTCTTAACATTCTTTTTAACAGTGGCAACTTGCTCTGCACTGTCTCTCCCAGCCAACACAGTGGCTAGCCCGAGCTTGTGCTCCACTAGCCCTTTAGTCAGTGGGGGAACCCAGTGTAAGGTCACATGTGGGCGAGGGTTCTCAGGGACACCAGTCAACTTTATGCGCACTCAATGCTCTGTCAATGGAAACTGGACTGCAGATATCACTAGCATACAGTGTAGAGGTAAAGCCAGTCGCACACTATACATCCTGACTATGATCTGATATTGAAAAAAATCTTTCTTATCGAGGTTCTGAATAGTTATATATGTCTGATAAAATACATTTAACAAAACTATGCAAACTGCAAGCTTCCTGGAAGGAGGAAAACTCGAATTATAGAATTATAGTGATATCATTTCAGTTGTCTTTGATGTGAGACTTATATGGCTTTCATGACAGCTAGGAGTTGTAAATGGTCGAAGATTTTAATCAAAAGTATTTATATCATTATTCAGAACCTAAATCAGGAAGATCATTTATTGTGTAGGGGCCGCATAAGATCAGTACTCATTAACATTATATTTCTTTATAAGTTAAATCTTTGGCTCTTAAAAGCATAAAGGCAGACAAAGTTAAAGAATACCATTCACCTTAAAATATAAGTTATAACAGCTAGACTATACAAAATCAACCTACAAAACCTTTACCAGGCATTCTATGGGCACTGTTTAGAAGTATGAATAGAATAAATAATCAATTTAAACCCCATATATGTCATTGCATACATACAGATCCCGATACAGATGTGTCAAGTGTTCTACTAACAAGTTTCTTTTATGTCAATTGAGACTTTATTCAAAATTGGAATATCTTTTCATGAAACTAATATTTGAAGCTCATATTTTGATCATACATTTAGTGCAGAGATATGTAACCCCTAACATACAATGTACACACCCAGAACAATATGTTTGTGGTAAATTTTAAATCTAGTCATGCATAGACCACTGATGCATGTATATGGGTATAGTATTGACTTCTTTACTCTGTAAGATTTTGTACAATAATTCGGTAACAAAATGAATGAACAATTTCAAAACTGAAATGAAAATGAAATATACAGCAATAATGACATGATTTTGTGTTTTTCCATTTTAGAATAATGATCATTTTTTTTATTAGGAGAGGTTGACAATAAGGGCTCACTAAAAAATAAATAGACAAATTAATTATCTAGTTTGGATTTAGATCTGGACTACAGATAGTAATTTTATTCATGAATACTGGCTTTTGAGATCCTAATTGATTAACTGCCCAAATGTTGTTGTTGTATCTAATATGCTTTATGTAAAGCTCACCTTCTTAATTGTGTAATACAACATGGTCTCATGGATTGTTACATAATACATGCACATGTATATAGTTAGGAAAATGAAGTTTTGTATTAGTTTCTATATAAGTTCTATATAGTATATATATTCTATATAAGTTCTTCTGTACTTTATACTGCATATAGACTGTGTTACATGTAGTTAAATGTACATGTACTTATTAAACAGTGATTGTATTGTGTGTGTGTGTAATTGGGTGTTTACAGACGTGTATCGATCAGATTTGATTATTTACATCTGGGGACCGACCTTTTAACGAACCCGGGTCCGTCTGAGCCAGTTTGTAGGTGAAGACAGAGTGACGTACCAATGAACGGGTACCGCTATAGACCAACTCAAATCTCCCTTTTTGTAGCCCTCGCTGCTAAATAGCCTATTCCCGGCCCTGTCCATTCCAGGGGGTTCTTTCACCCCTTCTAGCTTCCAGTCATCTCTGCATCTAGAGTACTCTTTTCATTCTTCACAATCCTGGAGCCTGTGTACAAATTATTGATTAGTTTGCATATTCCTCTATAGTACCTTGTTTGCTTTTTGCATTCTCACTTTCAGATATAGCCCCACCTGTATACACCTATTGTCCTGCAGGCATGAGCGTTACACTAGGACCCAACATGAACATGGCAGAGGTTCGCTGGAGACTCCCTGTCCCAAATGATAATGTTGGTAAGAATAACTGTTCAGTAGAATGCAGTGTATGCATGCATGTGGTGTTAGGGGTGTGGGTGGGTGTGTGTGATTAAGTTTTGACAGACGTGTATTAATCATAAATGTCTGGTTATTTATGTCTGAGGAACAGCAAATGCCATGTTCAAAACTGATTTCCCTATATGTATATGGATACCTAATTACTTACGTGTGGAATAAACTGAATCCTTATAGATTCTTCAAGGAATGAAAAAACAAAATGCTGATATGCCATGAACGTGTATTAGATTAAAAGCAATGCTATGACATCCGTACATGCTTTAATTTTTAATGAAATCATTAAGTAATATTTCATGTGGAAAGCCATACGGTATGTGGGGGCCCATCCCAACATGACTGGCTACGCAACCGCGTCCAGAAAAAGCGGCGAAAGGGTGTCTTTTTCAGCTATACGACGGCGTCGATGTTTTCCTTAAAAAGGGGTGTTTTTCAAGCACTGATCGCACAAAAACCACAAAAAGGGGACTTTTTTAGGATCACAGGTTTCAACGTTTTCTAAAAAAGGGTCATTTCAGAAAAAATGCAATATGTAGGGTCTATTTCAGATGTTGATGGACTGTGGGTAGCATTTGTGTATGAGAGTGACCCCCCTGGGGGGGGGGTCCATATAATCAACGATAACCACCACCCTGTGTACATGTATATTGCAGGTGTTGTAGATACCACCACGCCTGAAGTGACCCTGCCCGTTCAGTTGGCTCCAGGCACTGAGCTCTTCACCTACACTGCTACCGATGCCCAAGGACTCACAGGAACTTGCACCTTTGATGTGACTGTAGTTGGTAGGCAAAGCATGCTTTTCAACCATACAATTTATCTTACTGAAATATTTTTTTCAACTTACATACATTGACCCACTCTATTGCATTTAAATAACACCTGTATGTTTATATTAATTTTTAAAAAAGGAAATCAAAAAGACATCCAGGCTACTTTTTACAACAATTTACAGGACTGTGAAATATAACAATGATAGACATACATGTGTGCATGTATGACATAGCATATTCGTTTATTCAAGTTTGTTTATTCATATATTACATTGAAACATAAATTACATACATACCTAAAACGATTCATGTTTTTGTTTATTTGTTGTTAAGATAACCACAATGTTGTGTATATAGATCTTTATTTGCATGTATATCTCCCCTACTTCTGGCTACATCCTGACCCTTATTTTGATATAACCTTGACTTGACGTCATTTGACGTCATTTGACCTATACCAGATGCTGAGCCTCCCAGAGCCCTGAATTGTCCCGGTGAGAATGAAGTGACCAACCTCCAGGCTGATGTCCTGCCTGTAAGGGTGCAATATACAGAGCCCATGTTTACAGACAATGTCGGCATTGCAAAGTAAGTTACGCTGATCCTTAAAGGGGAATTAACCTCAACCTTCATGTTAATTTCAGTTTGTAGGCCATTTAAATTATTATCTGAAAAATATAAAACATCGTACATTTGATGAAAGGGGGGAAGTAACTCTTCTTCAGAATCATTTGTCTTTCACGGCTCTGAGAATTTTCAGAACATCGCCATTGTGTTTGTGCGCACGGCCTGTTCTGTGATGTATCACATGGAGTCGACCGCTATCTCATGTCAACTCAGTAATCTGCCTCTGTAGAATGATCACTGCAAATCACATCGTGTTTCCTGTCATACGTGTACTTTTGGTCCAGAAATTTCTCCATCATCAGAGCTGCTAAATAGCATGAATATTTCTTTGCGATTGTGGGGGTCTGGAAACCGATGAAACGATTTCCCCTTGGTTCTCGAGGAACAATAACTAGTACAACCAAACACTTGGCCATACACCATGCTGTTTGACGTGTATTGCATATCAGTTCTCTGTGCAATATGTCACAACCTGGAAGTTTTTAAGAGAAATTTCAACAAAATGGCAGCCTCCTTGTACTTGCAAGACGATATTATTTGGCCTAGTACAGAAATTAATGCTTTTTATATCAAATGAAACATTGTTATACTCTCTATGTCATGATAATGCTTCATAGTCGAGAAGTTGGCAATATCACATGAAAGAAATAATATGTGTATAGCTAGAATATATAAAATCAACCTCAATAGAAGTTACCTTGCATTCTATATGTAAGCCGTTAAGACTTAAGGGAATTGCATGGTCACCACATACCTGCCAACCACCCCGATTTAGGCGGAGTTCCTCCGCATATTTCATACCAACTCCGAATTCCGAGTGCATGCCTCAAAACTCCAATTTTTTTTAATTTTAAAATATTTTTAAAACAAACGACTGTTGCATAAGACTAAAGCATAACACAGCACTGATAACCAGATCACGCTGACATCCGCGCTCGCGCTCGTAGAAGATATACACAGCGCAGCCCGAACGTGATCGTTAGTTCCGTGTACTGCAGTCATTATCCATGTACTACATGTACTAGTACATGCACGTGCGCAAGCTATATCGATAAAGTGTGTGCGGACGTTGTACTAATACATACACTACATGCAGCGTTGTTGCATAGTAACTGCATGCGTATAGCCCACGTGTACATTGGCGTGTTTTCTTCAATGCTTGTGCGATGACTGCGATCGTGGAAGCTTGTTATTTACCGGACTTCCTCTGATTTATTTTGGATTACTACTACGATATACCTTTGCAAAATAGGGCTCCTAACTGAGGTGGGTAGTGAAACATGTAGTTTTGTGAGTGTTCACATTTTGATATTTCAAAAATTGTTTATGTGTGGGGCGAAAAGGTTGAAGGAAAAGGCCCATTTGCACCATTAAAATGGAGAGAAAAAAAAATAGACCCTAAAGTCCTGTGTACCCCCCCCCCCCCCCCCAATCTACGGGCTACTACCCCAATCCTTCGGTGGTTCGCGACCTCGTAGTCCATCCAGAAAAATTTACTCCTAATTTCTCTTGTCTCAGGTTGGCAGGTATGTCACCATGAATAAAGAGTCGATAGTGCCGTCAGTGTGGTTCAGAATATTATTATTATTATTATTTATTTGACCAATCGGAAAAACATACAGTGAGTATAACAATCAGATAATACATAGACATTTCATAATACATTCAAACAGCTTTAGGAAAGTGGAGAGGAGATAGAGAGAAGGATACAATCTGCTGGTCAGGGGTGACAAAGCAATTTAAATTGCTATTACTCGAAAGCATGTCACCCCCCACAGTCTGCATCCTGGAAAATTAAGAGTAAAGAAAGAACAGAATATATATATATATATATATATATATATCAGGATAACAATAGTTGGAGCAATTACTATTATATCTTTGATTACTTTCATTACATTATTATGTCATTACAATGGCTTTACGTTCCTCACATAGATATAAAAACTTTCAAATCAATAACCTGGTGCTTACATTAGAAACATTTGATATGATTATTATTGGGAAGGAAAGTTACATAATGGTATAAAATGATGAACAATAATTTCTAACTTTCAAAATGAAATGAATACAATTGTAATCTGAAGCCTAATATGTACTGAACGGAACGAAGAAATGAGCTTGCAATATTGATATTATTTCTGTTAGTTTATAGTTTATTCTTTGAATAAATGAGAAACTAGAAACCCCTAGAATAGGTGTTGAACAGGAAAGAAAGCAACTATGCCATCTTGGTTGAACCTAATGTTTGCAGCTCATGAAGATGTACATCATGCCTCGATCAGTGGCTGTGTATAAACTGTAACAAAATACAGGCTACCTTGACAGCTTCAATGACATAGGTACGACCGTGGTGAAAACTACCAGCTTCGTTCAATGTAGGTGGATTTCGGTTATATAAATACCTGTCAGGGCCTTATCTGACGGAAGGGCCTTACCTGTTTGTAGAAGGACTGATTTTCGTGCATGAGTGCATATCCTTCTGGATTAGATATATTAATCTATTTCAGTGAGTGCATATCCTTCTGGATTAGATATGTTAATCTATTTCAGTAAAAGTTAATTAAAGTACATGAGAAAATATCATAATTTCATTATGATATACATTTAAAACTACCTACAAAAAATTTGTAGATAGTTAATCAAGGGACTACTTTGTCCTTGGAGTAGGTATACAAGACCCACGCGACCATGACAGTAATTAGGCTTTTGGGTCTAACATGTATGTATAAATTAATGTCGTGGGTAGGACAGGAGATCGAGAAAGAGGAGTCAGAGGCAAACGATGCGGTTGCAGTTGATCATTTATTAAATCCAAAAAAAAAAAAAAAAAAAGAAGAAAAAACCCCAGGTTCAACAACCCCGATCACTCAAGCAGACCCAAAGCAGAGCATGAGTGAACTCATGACTCGGCGACAACCGACAGGTAGGCAGCTAACACGTGAATCAGCTTCTTCTGTTACATCGAGAGCAGATAAACAGGACAAACACCTCAAATGAAAGTTGGTAGAGGAATCAATTCATGCTTACCGGCCTCTCCATCCACCCACTATAATACTAGTCCCAGAAGCAACCTGATTACCTGAGATTATAATCCGCCCCTCAAATCTTCAGAGGTAGCCTCCATTAGATAGATTGAATGTAATCACACATAAAATCCCTCTATAGCTTGAGACTACTACACATTCCAAACTACAGACCTACTTTTAATACAATGTAAAGATATTACAAAATAAAGTGTCTCGACCACTGCATACATGGCTGCACTGCAAACAAAGCTAGTGCATGCCAAGCTACGGACCTACTTTTAATACAGAGTAAAGATATTACTGAGTGAAGCGTCTCACTACATGCTAGAGTACATCTAAGATATTTTCACCTGTTCTAAACAATGTACAGACCTCAGAGAAACTAACAAGTTATCATAACAAGTCTGTGCAGCTTATTGTGCAGCTTATTGTTCCTCTGCTCAACTATCTCAAACAGATATCAATAAACAGTAATTTAAAGGCACGCTAAGCTTCTGAGCAATAAAACCAAATTTCAGCTCTACATTTGCAACAACAAAAATCTCGTCCCCGACATCAACCACACCCAAAGTGCTGTCGGGTGTTCTTAAAGGAAAAATTAAGTTTGAAAAAGGTCAAAACGAGTTTAATCACTACAGTAGCAACAAATCAATGAAGAAATATAAGCCTATGTTAACTTGAAAATACGAAATATGGTAATACTGTAGACTTTCAAAAACGTCCACGTACCAAGCTGGCTACCTAACCTGACGACCAGACCTGTCTTTCAAATTTCAGTAGTGTTCTGCTTCGTTGTAGGATCCAGAGCCAAGTCTGTGAAGTTGGATTGCTGCATGAGGAACTTGGATAGGTGGATCTTGATCCTTTGCAGATTGAGCAGGGAGATCTTGCTCAATGAAAGCTGGTTTAAGTCTCTCAACACTGAAACTTTCATGTTTACAATTGTAATCAATAGTAAAAAAATTTGTCAGAGCGTTGATTGACTGGAAAAGGCCCCTTGTATGGAGCCTGAAGGGGCCCCTTAACTGCATCCACTCTAAAAAAGATGTGGGATGAGGAATATAATTCTGGGTCTAATGTACCTGTGTAGGGTAGCTTGTTGCTCGCATCAGTCTCTTTTGTCCGTGGGAAAAATTAGCTGGATCGATCACCAGCAGAGTTGGTCTGTAAAGGAGCCACAAAACTTGGCTGGTAGCATGACCGTGGTACCACAGACAAATTCTGCTGCGGAACATCCTATATCAGGCTTGATAGTTGGACGTATACCCATCAGTACCAAAGGAACTACCTCGGTCAAATGTACTGTGTTATGTGCCTTGAGAGAGGCTTTGAGTTGCCTGTGAAACCGCTCGATAAGCCCATTGGCTGCCGGATGGTATGCTGTTGTGCGAATGCGTTTAGTGCCAAGGAGATTAGTGAGAGCAAGAAAGAGTGCTGACTCAAATTGTCTACCCCTGTCTGTAGTAAGAGTAGTTGGAGCACCAAACACCGTTACCCATCTGGCCACAAAAGTATGTGCTACAGTTTCAGCAGTGATATCTCTGGCCATCTGGTGTAACGAACCACACAAGTGAGAAGGTACGTGTCACTCTCTGAACTATAAGCGGGCCTACAAGGTTGATGTGCACATGAGAGAAACATGCATTAGGTGAAGTAAAAGTGCCTTGTGGAACTTTTGTGTATTTATAAACCACGCGTTGGGAAGCTGACTGGCGATGGCCTGAATTCTGAGGACCTCACTGTCGACTGCGACTTCTGCGGTTCTTCTGTAGAGAACAAGTCAAGGCTTGCACCTGAGCAGTTAGTTGAGCTACTTGGGTAGAAAGTCGCTGTACTTCTCCAGAGTCATTGGGGATGTCGCAAGCGTGAGTTTGCGCTGGTACCGCTTTAGGTAAGACATGAGAAATAGTAGGCGGACCAGCAACTTCAACA